CAGACCACACACAAACGTTAGCCACTCCACACACACGCAGTCCACTCACCACGTACTTAAGCATGAGAGAGCGGCAAGGCCCCCCCCCCGCCCGACACACGGAGCAGGATTATAACACAAAGCAATGTAGCGACAGCACCGCCCGACCAGCTGAGCGACCTGCCCTTTACGTAAAGAACAATGGGCTGGGCAGCCCCCACCGCCCGCATGTTTGGGCCACATGAGGGTGGCTGTTGCTCCCGGTGGAGGTCGGCAACTGGTGTCGGCCTCGTGTCCACGCCGTCGTCTGTGTCGTGTCGAAATGCATGTGTGTCGTGCCGATGTGCGTGTGTGTGTCAGCCTCCGTGGATGAGGCTCGTGAAGGACGCTACTGGGCAGTTGGAGGCAGTCGCCCTCAAACAACAACGGAGGGCGGAGGAGCGACGCTCACAACAACGAGCGGACCGCCGGGTGGCTAAAGCACAGCAAGTTGGCACAGTAGGGGTCACAGGTGGTGCATCAGCCAGTCATCTCAGTCAGTCGACCCGTGACACCTGGGTCTGCCCCGTGACCTCCTGCCAGCGGGCGTTCGATACTTCACGTGGCCTCAAGGTGCACATAGCCTGGCACAAGCGTCGTGGTGACGTCACCGCCACTTAGTGGCGAATGGCGGTTGTTGTTGTGTCGCTGCGTTCTACGATGACGATCCATTCTCTAATTTTTGTATTTTACCAGGTAAACACCACTGAGCTATGTAGCTCTTTTTCATAAACGACCTGACAACAAACGACAGCTCAACGAAGTGGCTTATCACGTGAAAAATGACAGCAGCCAAAGACTCTGAACGCATGTTGATTCTAAATGTGGAGAGAAGAACCGGAGGACCCGGAGAAAAATCCACGTGACCAAGGGGAGAGAGAGAGACACGCAAACTCCAAATATACATGCATCAGAGTCGGGATCGAACCCACAACCTCCTCCATTCCAGGCAAGGGAGTTAACATTTTGCTACCGTGGCACCCCCATTACACGTCACTGTGGTGATGTCTGTGTCCTGTTGAATGCGTCACCCCGTGTGATGATAATTTGTCACCATGGTGTGTTGATGTTTGTGTCACCATGGTGTGTTGATGTTTGTGTCACCATGGCGTGTTGATGTTTGTGTCACCATGGTGTGTTGATGTTTGTGTCACCATGGTGTGTTGATGTTTGTGTCACCATGTTGTGTTGATGTTTGTGTCACCATGATGTGTTGATGTTTGTGTCACCATGGCGTGTTGATGTTTGTGTCACCATGGCGTGTTGATGTTTGTGCTCTGTGACTGTATCAGTGCGAAAGAAGTTCAACGTGATAAGCCACTTCTTTGAACTATCATTTGTGGTCAGGTCGCTCCTGAAAAAGAGCTGTATAGCTCAGTGGGCCTTACCTGCTAAAATAAAAAAATAGTTTCTAGTGAAAAATACGTTTTGTTTAATAATGTTCTATCACGGTGTCACTGTGATGATGATGATGGCTGTGTCACTGTGACGAGGATGATGGCTGTGTCACTGTGACGATGATGATGGCTGTGTCACTGTGATGATGATGATGGCTGTGTCACTGTGATGATGATGATGGCTGTGTCACTGTGATGATTGATGATGGCTGTGTCACTGTGATGATGATGATGGCTGTGTCACTGTGATGATGATGATGGCTGTGTCACTGTGACGATGATGATGGCTGTGTCACTGTGACGATGATGATGGCTGTGACACTGTGATGATGATGGCTGTGACACTGTGATGATGATGTGATGATGGCTGTGTCACTGTGATGATGATGATGGCTGTGACACTGTGATGATGATGGCTGTGTCACTGTGATGATGATGGCTGTGACACCGTGATGATGATGATGATGGCTGTGTCACTGTGATGATGATGATGGCTGTGTCACTGTGATGATGATTGATGTGTCACTGTGATGATGATGGCTGTGACACTGTGGTGATGATGGCTGTGACACTGTGATGATGATGATGGATGTGTCACTGTGATGATGATGATGGCTGTGTCACTGTGATGATGATGGCTGTGTCACTGTGATGATGATGATGATGGCTGTGACACTGTGATGATGATGGCTGTGTCACTGTGATGATGATGGCTGTGTCACTGTGATGATGATGATGGCTGTGTCATTGTGGTGATTATGGTGGCTGTGTCATTGTGATGATGATGATGGCTGTCACTGTGATGATGATGATGATGATGGCTGTGACACTGTGATGATGATGGCTGTGACACTGTGATGATGATGATGGCTGTATCACTGTGATGATGATGATGGCTGTGACACTGTAATGATGATGATGGCTGTGACACTGTAATGATGATGATGGCTGTGTAACTGTAATGGTGATGATGGCTGTGTCACTGTGATGATGGTGATGGCTGTGACACTGTGATGATGATGGCTGTTGTGATGTCTTCTGTGGTGTGCGTCTCACCCAGGTAGATGTCACCAAAGGAACCGCTTCCGATCTTGCGCCCAAGGCGGTATTTGTTACCGACCCTGAGCTCCATGTCTCTTGTCTCCTACAGCGGAGACACGCGCACGGAGACAACACTGTGATGTGCCAAAAAGAAACGGAGGCAAGTGCACATAAACAGCAGCGAAATAATCACATATAAGCATACATATGACACAGACACACAAAAACACAGACACGCACGCTTAAGTTCCCACGAAAACAGACACACACAGCTTTTTACACCCAGACACACAGCCAAAAAACATATACAGAAACAGACACAAAAACAGACGCAAAGGCATAAAACACACAACTATACGGAACACAATAAAATACACACCCATTAATAGAGAGTAAAATTCACTCATGCAGAAACACACACACACATAAAGACAAGCATAATCACGGAATTACAAAATACACAAACACGCAGAATACACACACAAATATACCACGCAAAAACAAACGTATGAAGCGAGATATACACACACACACACGTCCACACACGCACACAAAGACACACAAAAACACACACGCCTACAAATACACACGAACACAAACACACACACACACCAAGGCACACAAACTCACGTAAACATCGACACAAATACACCCACTGGATATACAAAATTACACACACACAACAAGGCGCTCATCCGCGCAGACTCCATCACACACCGACGACGCTCGCACCGACACACAAACACGCGCTCGCCCTGACACTCAAACGCGACACCCTGACACACTCGCCGACGACACTCGCTGCTGACACGAGCCGTACACTCGCCGACAGTCGCTGCTGCTGCTGCTGTCACAGGGGAGGAAACCGGCTTCGTCTCTCCCCGTCTCCTTCACCGGTGGAGCATCGCGATTTTTTCACCGCAGATTTTCCTCACCTAAGTGCGTCGCGAGGAGGAAATATCCGCGTGGACGTGACCGTGGCACGGCGAGGGGCGTGCTCCGCGCGATCCGGGGCGGCTACTGCGGACGGCGGCGTCGCGATGCCACGGATTGCGCGGGGTCCATGGAGCGGGCGGCCCTCACGACGCCATTATTTACCTCCACTCCTGCGCGTGACGTCACGCGGAAGAACAATGCACGGGCCCGGATGCGGGAGACGTCACCATGGGCGACGGAGAGCCCTCGCGCGCGGGCGACGCGGTGACGTCATCACGTCGACGGCGCGCGCGCGACCCTGTCAATAGTGTTACGACGGAGCTCGCGACGTGGTTACGTCATCACGTAGAGAACGCACGCGACCCCTTGTATAGCGTCACCAGGACGACGGAGCCCGAATTCGCGACGTGGTTACGTCATCACGCCGAGGGCGCGCGCGACCCTATGGGTAGCGTCACCATGACGACGGAGCTCGAGCTCGCGACGTGGTTACGTCATCACGCAGAGAACGCGCGCGACCCTATGGGTAGCGTCACCATGACGACGGAGCTCGAGCTCGCGACGTGGTTACGTCATCACGCCGTGGGCGCGCGCGACCCTCTGGATAGCGTCACCATGACGACGGAGCTCGAGCTCGCGACGTGGCTACGTCATCACGCAGAGAACGCGCGCGACCCTATGGGTAGCGTCACCATGACGACGGAGCTAGAGCTCGCGACGTGGTTACGTCATCACGCCGAGGGCGCGCGCGACCCTCTGGATAGCGTCACCTTGACGACGAAGCTCGAGCTCGCGACGTGGTTGCGTCATCACGCAGAGAACGCGCGCAACCCTATGGGTAGCGTCACCATGACGACGGAGCTCGAGCTCGCGACGTGGTTGCGTCATCACGCAGAGAACGCGCGCGACCCTATGGGTAGCGTCACCATGACGACGGAGCTCGAGCTCGCGACGTGGTTACGTCATCACGCAGAGAACGAGCGCGACCCTATGGGTAGCATCACCATGACGACGGAGCTCGAGCTCACGACGTGGCTACGTCATCACGCAGAGAGCGCGCACGACTCTATGGATTGCGTCACCATGACGACGGAGCCCGAGCTCGCGACGTGGCTACGTCATCACGCAGAGAGCGCGCACGACCCTATGGATTGCGTTACCATGACGACGGAGCCCGAGCTCGCGACGTGGTTACGTCATCACGCCAACGGCACGCGACCTCTGGATAGCGTCACCAGGGCAAAGGAGCTCGGGCTCGCAACCGATCGACGTGACTTTACCGAAAGACCCAAGTGTATGTGGTGATGTCATCACGTCGACGTGGTTACGTCATCACGCAGAGAATGCACGCGAACCTCTGGGGGCAGCGTCACCACGGCGACGGAGCTCGTGCTCGCGACCCGGTGACGTCATCACGCCGGCTGCGCGTGACGTCACTTCCTGACGGCCGCCGCTCCACCCGCATGGTAATTTGACTGCTACCGTGTGATGCGCTCTGTCGTCCTTTTTGTCAGCCGTGGTCGATCCGCTGCTGTGATAATCCACCTCCGGCAACCTGCACCTGAACAGGTTTTATCGCTCCCCTCTCCCCGGTTTACATCGCACTCTGGGGACTCGTTCCTTTCCATGGTTGCCGCGCCGTTATTGTTCTTGTACAGTAATGACTACATTGGTCATTCTATCGTGCGGGTGGCCCCGCCACAGTAATGTGGAATGTCCACCCTGGCGCGTGTTTCTTAATGGAGGTGAGTTAGGCTTGCGAGGGCCGCTCACGCTCCGTGTTTTAAAGATCTCTCGGCCTTTCCAAACCAAATGTCACCCAGCAGCATCAGCTGATGTAAGCCAGCAGCGTCTGTTCTGTTTTAATTTCAAGTGTATTTGTTTTAACCAGCTGAGAACTCTTAACAGAGACCAGGATAGCCCGTCTCATTTGCAAGAGTGACCCGGGTCACTTGAATATTTGCTGTACGGATGTTGAACTTCTTTCGCACCGTACGTCGCCAATCGAGCCAATGGGGTGCGAGATAACAAACGAAAAACAAAAGTAAGTTCATATTCTTTGGGTCTTTAGGTAAAGTCAACGTAGAACAAAAAATTTGACAAAAAACTACTTTTGATCGCAACACAAGCAATCCCTCCTGATGACGATTGCTTGTGTTGCGATCGAAACGTAGATTTATAAAAAATAAATTGTTCGACGTGACTTTGCCGAAAGACCCAAAGAATATGAATTCCTGCAGTCACGAAAGCTTTAAGTCAAGACAAAAGGAAGTTTATGAAAAAATTCGTTTTAAACCTAGATTTAAAAGTGCATATAGCACCAGTGGCTTCCAAACATCGCAAGAACGTTCCAGACGGCCGCAGAAGCGCATCTTGAAAGCGCGCGACGCGGTGACCGCCTTCTTTGTTATTTTATGCCATGTGGAGTCGAGTCTTTGTCGCGTGTTTTTCTCCCTGCAGTTCTCCGGTCCACTCCATGGCCTCCGAGGCCGCTGTCCGCTCCCGCAAGGCGAGCGCCGTGGTGGGCGGCGTGCACACGGACGCGCTCTGCTGCGCATTCGCGGACCGCGTCCTCGTCCTGGTGACGCAGCGGCCGCGTCTGGGCCTCGTCGTGAGCCTCACGGCAATGGACGGGCCTCCGGGATCATCGGAGTCGCCGGCACCGCAGGGGACACAAGGGATACCACCCCCGAGCTGTGACTCGCGTGTACTGCTCGGCAAAGACGAGGTGAGCAAACCACGCACCGCGGTCGGTGCCGTTCTCAAGGGCGGCGGCGGCGGCGCCTCCACTCTCCAGCCCGTGCCGCTCACCGTTCCATCTCTGGGCGCCGTGTTCCTCCACCCCACTCCCCCCCGCAGCCTATGAGCCACGTGTGCGCGCGGAACGTGGCGGGGCACGTGAGCCGCGAGGCCGGGGGGCGGCCCGTGCTGCTGGCGCTCTCCCTGAGCGGCGACGTCACCCCTGAGTTGGTGCGCTCTCTCCGCGCCATGGTGGACACGTGCCGGGTGTGGTGACGACGACGACGACTTCCATCGGCGAAGGTTGAACTGGAGAATGGGCATAGCGAGGGTAACTCGGGGAAACACGGATTCACGCGAGGTTGAATTTCGTCCCAGATCTGTTGGATCCTACCGTAACTGCAAGTCCCGTGCTGTGGAGTCAGACACGCGGTTGTGACTCAAGACGCTGTCACGCGGGGGCTAAGTGAGCATCATGTTGGATGTGTGTGGGAGGGTGCGGCGTTGTAATTGGTGAATATTGCACGGGGGATTGAGTCTTTCTGGCCTTGTGTCACAGGCTGACTTACTACAATTACTCGGGGTTGACGTTCACCATCTCTCACCGTCCAGCCAGTCCATGCGTAACGTTCTTGCGACAACGTTCACCGATGCGAATTAAGATTTCAAGAGGCAAAATGCACGACTCGATGTAATAGAGCAGCAATGCTGAGTAAAGTCGCGTCCACATCCACGCGATCAGTTATGCAACCAAATCGCTGTCAACATCATGCAACTTATTCGCCTGAAACTGCCTTGTCCACATCTGACCGAGTAGTCAGTCATGCAACAAGGAAATTAAACCGCGTTTTCAAGATTGCAATTAACCCTAGTTCGCAAGTGTGCACGTGATGAAATACGTCGCTACAAATTTCTCAGCAGATCAATGCTTGAAAATGGAGTGTCTCTAGGGCAAGCAACCAGTTGCGTAACCAATTTCTCAGGTTCATGGCCGGCTTAAAGATTATTGATGACACTGGGAGCAGTGCAAGGAATCGCATATCAACCTCTTCTCCACGTAGCCCGTGCTGTAGCTGCCCACTCGCAACTCGACACCTGCGTCATGTCACCTTGTCTCACACGTGCAATTACAAAGTCCTGAACTTTGTTTTCACACCAAATTGACAAAAGGTTAATGATATCAGGCATTTCGACTGTTTGTTTACTTGTAATGCTTTGTGGGCCAGGTTACACTTTGTAAGTGACTTTTGGTCTCGGTGAGCCCTCGGTTTAAATAAAGAATGTTTGTATTAAAAATGTATAAGACAAATATGTTACGTGTGGTAGATGGAAACGTTCACAAATCATGCCTCGGTGAGCTTCTGGCAGATGGCGTAGTCCCAGAGCTCGCTGCAGAATGCACCCCGCTCGCCTTACAGCAGCGACTCGCCTACACTCCCATACCACGGGTGCAGCGAATATACTCTAAAATCTTGACTTAAAGCTTTCGTGACTGCAGAAATTAATATTCTTTGGGTCTTTCGGTAAAGTCACGTAGATAGGTTCAAACTATATATATCTTAACTTTGGAGCTTTCGTGACTTCAGGAATTATTCTTTGGTTCTTTCTTTGAAATTTTCACACTTAAATTCTATTTCGATTTAAAGCTTTCGTGACTGCAGGAATTCATCTTCTTGGTTCTTTCGGTAAAGTCACGTAGAAGGGAAGTAATAAAATAATAAAAATAAAACATATTATTATGTTTTATTATGTTTTATTTTTATTATTTTATTACTTCCCTTCTACGTGACTTTACCGAAAGAACCAAGAAGACTTAAATTCTAACTTAGCAATCTTTGAAATACGTAATCGACCAGGCTATGCGTTGTGTGTTGACCGACTCTGTGTCGTTTTACATAACATTTCTATACTTTGCTAGGTTATTTAATTTTAGTGTCTCTTTCTCCCCCTAAGTCTGCTCACTCCTTTTTGTTGTACTCATTGACATGTAAATTTTGTCTCTAACCCCTCCCTCTCGCTGCCTCCGCCCCCCTCTGTCTATTTAAGGCCACCCCACAGAGACGATCACCCCTCTCTGTACCTGTGTTGCCCGCTGTGTGTATCTTGGTGATATCTGTCTGCTTATGTCTGTCTATAATTTTTTCTGGTTATATTTTATGTCGCTATTTCATTATACCTGATGATTGCTTGTGTTGCAATCGAAACGTCGTATGTTATTATTTAATTCATTATTTTTTCTTTATACGTGACTTTACCGAAAGAACCAAAGAATATATATATACTTTAAAATTGTTAAACTTGTATTCGTAAAATTTCATTGTTTAAAATAATTAACGTGTACTAAGATCATAGGTTTCTCTGCTGCAAATAAGGATTCCAATGAGCCCCCTTAGGTTAAATAAAATGACAGATAATTAAATCCATGACAAAGCATATGCAAAGCACTTCATCAGAGTGGTTAATATTTTATTTATAACTTCAAGCGTTAGATTAAATGCACTTTGTGGGATTAAAAATGCAAAGTAAAGCAGTTGTTAATTTTAACAATGGAAGTGACGGTTTTCGTAAGTGCAAGTGCACGGCACAGTGTGGCATGCATCAGTTCCTTCCAGAGGTTCTGGTTCTGTGCCTTCCAAGCGGATTTACACAGCCATAGTCACAACTATGGTTCTAGATCTAGTCTCAGTTCCAGATGCTCTCCCATGTGCTGATCCTGTTTCACATTCAGTTCCAAATCCAAATTAAGTCCTCATGTTTTTTGTTCCAGCCGAATTGTTGTTCCAATTATTCCTTTATATCCGGAAGTGGTTCCAGTTTTGGCTTCTCTTCCAGCTCAACTTCCATTTCTGGCTCCAGCAGAGGTTCTGAATCGCAACGAGCTTCCGGTTGTGGATGTTGTTCCAGTTGTGGTTGTTCAGGACATGCTTGTTCCAGTTGTTGTTCCAAAGGCAACTGATCTAATTGCACCCGTTCTAGCTGTTGTTCGACTGGTTCTGGTTGTGAGTGGGTTTGTTCCTGCAGTGGTTCTAATTCAGATTGTGGCTGCTCCAGGTGTTGTTCGGAAGGCAGATCTGGTTTTGGATCTGGGTCTACGGGTTCCTGTTCTGATTGTGGTAGTGGTAGTGACTGCTCTGTTTGCTGCAGTGCTTGCAGTGGTTGTTGTGCTTCTTGTTGACATGATTCCATTGGTGGTTCTTGTAGCTGCTGCTGCTTCTGTTGGAGCGATAGCGAGCGAGCTTCGGACAGGAGCCTCCTGACGGCCGCCATGAAGGGCCCCACCTCACTTGTGTGGTCGACCGTGAGCGACACGACACGGCGCTCACTCTCAGTCCATGCGCTCGCTCGCAAATCTGGCACGAACACAGAGACGAGTGGAGACAAACGTAAAGGAGCGGGAAAATATGACTAACTGTAACTTTGTATTTAACAAGGTAATGCCCGCTGAGCTATATAGTTATTTTTCATAAGCCACCTGGCCACAAATGATAGTTCAACTAAGTGGCGTATCATGTGGAAATTTATAGCAGCCAAATACTCTAAAGACATGTTATTAAATGTGGAGGGAAAAACCAGAGGACCTGGAGAAAAATCCACACCACCACGGGAAGAGACACACAAACTTGAAATATAGAGGCGTCAGGGTTGGGATCGAACCCAGGACCTATATACCAGGCGAGGCAGTTAACATCTCGCCAATGCGGTGCCCCAATGGGAATAGGCAGAGGCACACAAATTACTCATGGGAACAAGTAAGAACACACAAAAACACGGCGACCTAGAAAAGCATATCATAGACATGATCACAACCATGAAGGTTATGGATGGTCATTTTGAGGTTAATGGCGATAGCTATGGTGTTGGCATTACCGTTTGCTAGCATTCCAAGCCGTCTCTTGACCAAGTCACTCAGTTTCCCAGAATTCCAGGCCTCTCGCAGCAATTCCAGCTTGCGACCGATGTCATCGCATATGCGGCCCTGCAAGCATAACACACCAACATGTATAGGCAGACCTATAGCAATGCGTTGTTGGTAAACGCAGCACGATACGAAACAGCGCTATTGGAGGCAGCGCAATAAGAGGTTGAGGTTTGCCTGTATATGACATTTATGAGAATACTATTGAGAAAAGTGCTACTTATGAGCTTATTCTAAAAAGACGGGCATAATACACTGGTAGCACCAATGCACAAGCATCAAATAGCTGACTAACAACACGTAGCTCTGTTAAGGTTAGTCTTGTTGCCCTCTTCGAAGATGCCTGGCCAGTGTCAAAGGATAGGCCAAAATACCCTCGGGAGGAGGTTTCTAGAGCTCCCGCTAGTGGAGGCTCTTCTGCCTGCAGTCGTATATATTAGTAATTGCAGGGCTGCACCTTTATTATGAGCATCCTGCAAGTTTAGCGAGGCACACGGGGGAGGTTGGTTGGTGGTGGGTGCAAGCACCATGTACACCTTTATTACAAACCCGGTACTATCGGCTGCATATCCGGTACGCCGAGAGGTGGCTCACCTGAACGTGGCCACGGCACCCTATCAGTAGGGAGGTGAGCGTCTCCAGCACCACCTCCACACTGGGCTCCTCCTGGGTCACGGACGCAGAGGTCTCAGGGGTGGGTGGTGCAAGAGGTGGGGTCACGCTGGGGGGTGGGGCCACGCTGGGGGGTGGGGCCACGCTAGGGGGTGGGGCCACGCTGGGGGGTGGGGCCACGCTGGAGGGCGGGGCGCTTGCTGGGGTCAGAGACACCTGGGGTGATGTAATGGTGGAGGTGGTTCCCCCTGAAATGAAAAGCACTCGTTAACTCTCGATTCTCCCTTTTACTTCGCTCCTCGTTTCACTCTCCCACCCACTTATACCACACGCGCCGTTCACTTATATCCGACACGTCCTCACTCTTCATCAATCTGCTCACTATGACCCCCGATATATATCTTCTCTCTTCCATTTCTGACCTGTTTATATCTTTAACATCCTCCTGCTGCCCTTTCTCCCCATCGGTCTCTTTTCCTTTATGAAGTCCTTGGCATTTCTAACTTATCTTTGTCCTCCACCCTTCTCTATTACCCTAACCCCGTCTTGTCAACGTCTTCATAAATTTTTTTGCACAAACCATTTGTTGTATGTAGGCATTTATATGGATATCTATTGTCTGCTTATCTATTGTGTTACTTACCGTATGCTCTCCACAACGCTAATTATGATTTCGTCTCAACTTTTATTTACATTGTGCCCATAATATAACATGTCGCAGACTAAAGATTTTTAGCCTTGTAAACACATTAAAGGTATCAATCTCGATTTACTAAATCGAATTTCTGCGTTAAAGAAATTTCATACCACACGGCACGCGCAATGAGTTATTCCAACATGCAGATCTTTTGGTGCGTTTTCTGAAAAAGTTGAATTTTGTTTGAAATTAATAAATATTCAATAGTTTTATATTTGTTCCTAATTATATTTGTATTGTGAAAACTGTAATAGGTGTATGTCGTTTAGGTTAGGGATAGAGTTGGAATGACTGTCCGAAACACATCCCTTATGTTCTGTATTCAATTAATAGGAAAAAAAGCTATTCCCATTTACGAAATTTCGTTTTACGCCTGCTTTTTTGGAGAACGCATCGCTTTTCGTGAATCGAGCGATATCTGTACCGTTGTGTGTAGGTTATCGATGTTGTGAGATGAGCACCTGTGAGTTGAGGGGGAGGAACGCGCTTGGTGAGGGGGGTTCCCCCTCGCCGCGTCGCATTCTGGGTGCAGAATGAGAATACTGGGGGGTCGTTCCAGCCGCGATCCAGGTTCCCTGTATTGGGGACACACATGGGCAGGGGGGAGGAACGCAGTGTGTCATGTGAGGGTGGTTTGGGGGTTACATGGAAGGGTGAGGAACACGGGTACAAAAATACAAAGATCCCCCATATTGCCTTAGGCTGTTGAGGCAAGTGCTGTTAGCGAGCACCTATGATGACCGGCACGGCACACCCACACGGGGGTGGGTGGCAAGTACCAAGCCCTAATACCCTTGCTTCCCCAGTGCTGATGTGTTTACACACAACACCAGGTACTTATTTGAGGTCAAAGTCGACCTCGGGGGTGCCCGGGTTCGGTTCAGATAATCGACACTGGCGTTAGCCGTGAGCGGGATTCAAACTCGGGTCGCCGGGTTCGTAGCGCAGCGGGATCAACCGTGACACTACCACTCCTGCACACGGGTACACGGAGACATAGACACGAACAGTCGCGGAAACACGTACATTAAGACAGCAAGCACATTCATACGTGCACATAACACAACATCGGTGTATCATCGGCTATGTAGCATGTCAGCAAGCGCAAAGCGGGGCCGGTACTACTCGACTCAAACGAGTCCCCCTCGTGTTTATGGAGGCGTCGTTAACACACGGAACTCCGTGTCACTGAACTTCCCACGCAGCTCTGCGGAGTATGCCCTCTGTTAGTGAACACATCGGCCACATCACCGCGTCCGGTACTGCGGGTTCCGGCCGCGGCGCCGACGCCCTGCCCGGCAGGGGCATCAGGCCAAACGGTAGGCTTCGACATCAAGCTAGGCCCGAAAAGCCGGCTTTTCTCGGCACCGCGCCCGACTGCCGCACCGGTGAACTTCGCGCTGCTCAAGAAACCAACCCGCCCTGCGAAGTTCCCTCACCCGGCTTCACGAAATGCTCCGACATCGTCTCGCTGCCTCCCGCGGCCGCCTCGACTGTTTGCGCCGGTTCCAAAGTTGACGCCGACATCGCCGACGTCGCCTCGCGGTACGTGGCCGGAGTGACGTCGCGCGTCACGTGCACCCTCCCCCCCCCGACTCCGACGTTATCGTATTATACGATATCGTGACGATATTGATATCGTACGATATTATAGTGACGATATTTTACGATATCGTGACGATATTGATTCGTACGATATCGTTAGACGTGTTATATTATCGTAAGCTCCACGATAATCGTATCGCACTTTGATCATAGCACCCTACTGCCCTATCGTGAATATCGTTCATAATGCCAATAATGACAATTGTGTATGTTTTATACACGGTGGCCCAAATGTCAGGACACACGGGGTTAGAAGTATTTATTTTAACAAATTACATCGGGTTATTTTATTTATTTTAACAAATGTTGAAGCTGACTTCCATTGACATCAATGCATTCATACATTTTCTTTTTTAAATTAATTCAGGACGGGTTTCTTTTTTAACAGGTGTAATATTTGAACATGTATCAATTGTTTCGTCCCAACTCAATAAATGTTCTATCCATTTTTATGTCATCTGAAAATGAAGAAAAATATCCATGAATAATGCAAAGAGACAAATATTAACCTTAAGAATAAACTATCAAAATGTTTTAATGCCAGTGTTAAACTAGATATAATACCGAACCCCTATGTGTACTATTAGGCCACCCTATTTAGTGCCCTCTACACCGAGGCGTATCTTTACGCCGTGGTGGCGAGATGTTAACTCCCTCGCCTGGTATACAAAAAAATCGCCGGTTCGAATCCCACCCTAACGCCTGTCTATTTAGAGTCTGCGTGTCCCTCTCTCTTTCTCTCTCCCCATGGTCGCGTGGATTTTTCTCCAGGTCTTCCAGTTTTTCCATACACGTTTAGAATCAATGTGCGTTCACAGTATTTGGCTGCTGTACATTTCCACATTATAAGCCACTTCGTTGAGCTGTCATTTGTGGCCAGGTCGCTTCTGAAAAAAGAGATATTTCTCAGTGGGCCTTACCTGGTAAAATAAAATAAATTGTTGACAGTTTCGCTTTTACATGACATTTTCGAACGTTTGAAAGGGCGCCCCCTAGTGGCACCTGTGGGCGCAAGGTGGCTCAGCACGGGGCCTGCAATCGTGCATTAGCGTGCCAGTAGGGGGGCCATGATTGCTGTCCCAATTGTGTAATTTGCGGTGTAATTTTCGAATTTGGCTTATTTGGACCCTGACGCCGGCACACAATGGCCTACTTTTGGGAATGACGCAACAACCGGTTACGGTGATAGGCAACTTTGCACCGATATCATCCTCAGCAATAAGACTAGCTCAATGGGCTTTATCTGGAAAGATAAAAATATATATATTTTACAATATTTGTATATTGTTTTAAGTTTTTTTTACCTTGCCTATACTTTGCACTGCTGGCGTGTTTTTGTATTGTTTGTTGTCGTAACGTTCTGATCTGCCCTTACTGGACATATGTAAAAAAATGCTTTACAGCTCATCGGATTTCTCCAGTATAAATATTCTGATTCTGATCAGAACACATGAGCACAGTCGTCAACCAATGCTCACTGCTTGATGGAGACTTGACAAGAGGACCACGATGCACTTCTTGAGGAAGTGCAGATGATGGGGTTTTTCGCATAATGCAGCAAGGTTCTGCTTTTTAAACATTTGTGTGCGTTGTTTGAAACTTAAGGCTGATTGTTGAGCGAACAGCAGTCGTGGCTTGTTTCAGTCATGGTGGCGAGATGTTCACTTCCTCACCTGATATTCAGTGTTGTGGGGACCGACGTCCACCTCCCCGCTCACGGAGGACCGTCTCGTGTCCACATGCATTGCGGCGCTTTATATTTCATTTTTTACGAATTCGAAAAAAATGGCTCGTGTTGTTTTGGTTGCTTATTCCTGGACCAGGATTTAATTTCAGCTGGATATGTCAGAGACTGAGCTCCAACTTCCAGACAATGTATCCCTGCCCCCCTCCCCCGTTGTGGTGGATGGAGGCGGGGGTGGTGGTGAGGGGGGCCCATTAAACAACTCCCCACCCACCCTCCCCAAGACAAAGTGAGACAACATTGTTGTCTCTACGTTCGCCAGAGCACGCGACCGCTGTCCTTTGGTCAGTCCATCTGGGTGTGATTATGGTGGTGGTGGGGGGGTGAATAAGACGACAGACCCATAGGCACCATGCGTCGTCGTAGACAGGTCCCTCGCGGTTCGAGGATGACGTCCATCAGATTTGGTGATGGCTCTTGAAGTCTGCTGAGGAGTCCCAATTCTGGATTCGCAGAATGATGGTGGTGTCAGCTTAGCAAAACAAGGCTCAACCCACTAGGGTACGACGCCCGATGGCCGATTGTCAGATAAAAAAAAACTTTTTAAATGTTCGGATTGAATGGACAATTTCATGTTACTTCAGATCCCCGGGGCCATTCGAGCTATAGTTTGACGCGGTTTTCATGCTAACAAAGGTGACGTGACCCAATGCCCCGTTGCCACTACTTTTGGCGGAGGAAGAGGGCGGTTTACCTAATGCCCAGTTTGGATACTGGGCAGCAGACTGAGGTTTTGGTGTTGCCGCATCCACTGTAATGTTTGATATTATTTAGCTGCTATAAGTTTGAACGTGGTGAGCCACTTTGTTGAGCTATCATATGTGGCCGGATCGCTTCTGAAAAATAAGCTAATAGCTCAGTGGGCTTTATTTACCTGATAAGAAAAAATGGTTACTCTTTGGCTCTTTCGGTAAAGTCACGTAGTTAGAAATAAAATCAAACAAATCACGACTTTTCGAAGCGACCGCTTGTGTTGCGATCGAAAAGTCGTGATTTGTTTTATTTTACCTCTAACTCCGTGACTTTACCGAAAGTACCAAAGAGTATGGATTCCTGCAGTCACGAAAGCTTAAATAATGCTTGTTTTATTTGCATATTTATTGAAAGTGATTGCTTTACCTTTCTTATACTTTGCACTCCTATCGTGTTTTTGCATTTTGTTGTTTCAACGTTGAGACCCACCCCGACTGGCCAAGTGAAAAAAGCTTTATAGCTCATCGGATTCCTCCAGTATAAATTTCTATTCTGAATAGTGAACTAATTAAAATTAACAGTTGTGATGTAGAGACAATTGGAATCTCAGTCGCTATGACATTGTTCGTCGCCTCTGATGGAACTTAATATTTATTAATATATGCCTTTTCAGTGTTGGGGGGGGGGGTTACCATGTGATGCAGCTCAAGCATCTCGTGAAGTTACGATTGCACCGGTGTCCAAAACTGTTCGTGGCACGATGACACGTCGGCAGGTTGCCTGAGGATCTTCTTGGTTCTTTCGGTAAAGTCACGTAGAAGGGAAATAATAATATAATATATTATTTTATAGTTTTATTTTTACTATTTTATTATTTCCCTTCTACGTGACTTTACCGAAAGAACCAAGAAGATGAATCCCTGCAGTCACGAAAGCTTTAAATCGAAATTTTGCCTGAGGATGTTGTTTTAAAATTTTTGGGGAGAAGAACCATTCCCCACCGCTGTAAAATGCCACTGCTTGACACTCTACCCTTAGGTGCTAATATCAATCGTTGTGCATAAGAATAATTTGTCACAGAATTTGCTCAACTTTTGTTTTAGTTTGCACGTCGCTCTCCCCGTGGTCGCGTGGATTTTTTTCCGGGTCATCCGGTTTTTCTATACACATTTAGAAACATGCGTGTCAAGTATATGGCTGCCATAAATTTACACGTGATAAGCCTCCTCGTTGAGCTATCATTTGTGGTCAGGTCGCTTCTGAAAAATACTTATATAGCTCAGTGGGTCTTACCTAGTAACTTAAGTTTAGTTTCGTTCGGTGTCAAAAATAGTTTAAGGTGATCTGACAATTTTTTTATACCACCAGCACACAACAGCAGTGAGCAGGTGGTGGAGGGCTCGACCTGACACAGGCTTCAGGTCCCTAACGTAATAGTTTCACGAAGGTTGCAGTTTGAAAAACAAAATCGACTCCACCCTATGGACGGGCTTGTTGAATATGTAAGAACTCGCCTTTTGCCCGTCCAAGGACGGGTGTATTTCAGTAAATCTGAAACTTGTAAGCGAAAAGCAGACCGCGACGTGATATTCATTGCATCAATTCGTGTGCAATTTGTAAGGCCGCGGTGACCAAGACCTATTTCATTTTAAGGTTATAATCCCTTGTTCAGCAGGACGTCCTTTTTTACTTTTGATGTCTCAACAGTGTGACGGAGATCGCGAGCTGTGAGGGTTCTGCCTTTGTAGCGAGGGTTGTAAGTTGACGCCGAGGAGGGGGGAGGCGCCTCGCCCCCCCCATGTGGAGTGACGTTAGCTGCTAATTAAGGGGGGTGGGGGTTTCCATTTGGAAGACGTCACCTGTTGATTATTAATGAGGGGGGCTGTTCGATGTGGAGTGACGTCATCTGCTCATGATTATTAATGAGGGGTGGGTCCATGTGGAGGAAGAAACCTATTCATGATTATTGAGGGGGGCTGGTCGACGTGGAGTGACGTCACGCATGTTACACACCGACATTCTTGGGTAATATAGTAGTAAATTCCACAAAGCCACTTGCCTGCACACAATTCATACCCTCTGTAACAATGTGCATCATAATTTACTTGATACAGCTGTCGGGCTGTGACGGTTCCACCTGAAATCAGAAGCTTGTGTTGCCTCCGAAACGTCGTGATTTTTATTTCATTTTACTTTTATTAATTTTAATTTTTTACCTACGTGACTTTACCGAAAAAACCTAAGAACATCATAATGCTGTTGTACGAAAGCGGGATTCCTTCTAAAGGAGATAGTCCCCCCCCCCCCACCTCCTGACACCCGAGAGGTCACTTAAAAGGCTACAATTTTGTCAGAGGTCAGTAAATCAGATCATTATTAATTTTTAGTCTGAAATCTTGGATATGCCTGCAGAAACACCCGATTCTGTGACCTATCCGGAGGTTACCGTTTTCACCTGCGTCATGAATTCAACTTTATATTAACATCCCAAAATCGTAGCCTTATTTGCGATTAATAGAAAACTCCTCGAAGTTATGGATGAAATAACGATTTTTTTTATTTCAACACAAGCTTCCACAAGACAGCAAAATGTTACAACTCAAATATTATATTTTTTGCTCTACCATTCCAACCGCTCCCCCATTCCAAAAATTAGACCCACCCCCCACCCTCCCCAGAGCAAGCAAATCCAAGTGGGAGGGGAAACTGATTTGCATGGACTAAATTGAACAGATTCCACACAACAACCAATCTCCTCTGTGCAGTTCCACGTGCATCACATAATCAAAGGATAAAAATATAAATCAAAACAAATAATTAACAGCATATTTATCATTGCTGACGCCACCCCACCCCAACATGGTCTTACAAGTGATGCCCAAATTTGATTGGCCAATGGAAGAAGGCTAATTCGCCGGGTGTCCACAAACTGAGGTGAGGGGGCTATGAGATCCGGGCCCACATCGCAGATCATCCCGTAGTATGGCTCTTTTAACGTTAAAATAACTACTGGTTCCCTCCCTCCCACCTGCGGGGCCCCAAACTGACAACAAATTAACCAATTTGTGTCCAAATCAATTCGCAAGCCTTAAAAGTTTGCCTGAAGAATTAAAGAGCAATCAGAAGCACTTAATGTCGCCAACATCTGGCCATTAAAAGTTCCTAAGTGAGCGTAGGTGCAGATGCCAACTTCTGTGCCCATAAATTTCTGAATGCCTGCGTGGTGACATCACTTGCCGTGGATTGCGATGCCCCTTCTTCCTGTGTATGCAACGTGAAGGCGAGGCTGCGATAACGGCTCCTAATTTTTGCATTGCAGGTAATTAAAACCCCACTTTAAAAAAATGTGCAATAAGGAAAATAAAGCAGCAGTAACAGCCAAACCTGTGAATAGAGAAACCTCAAATTTGAATTTGATGTGGAGTTAGCATTGAGACCCTTGAAATAGCGTTCGTATAACGTGCACACAAACGCTCGTACGTACACTCACCACAACCACCTTTTTTTGCAAAACGTGAAAGCGACTTGTCCCTTTCAGTATCCAGTAACGGCACTGCCTCGCGTTTTAATAAATGTGTGTTGTGACACCACTTCATTTACAATGCAATGCCACGTTCTGTACAATGTGACGTCACTTTCACGTGCGCTTCGACACCACGCCTCCTGTTCAGAGCGACGCGTCGCCCAGTGGCGCCGTTTTCGTCCGCGTGTTGGCGATGTCATTGGCTGGAGATTGCCGCCTCCACGGAGCGACGATGCTACTTGCGGGGGCGGGGAGGGCAGCAATATCACATCCAGTGGGCCGCAACGTCACATCCCGGGCACGGGATCACGGGATGTTGAAGTGGGCGACAAGTTCCTCCTTGTGATCGACCTTCACCTGCGCCCCGGCGTTTGAGGCGTAAGCAGCGAACCGCGCCACCTGCACGCCAAGAACGAGGCCAACACTGTCACGACTGTCCATAAACCCTTGTCACACACCACCACCATGAACACTCACAGACCGTCCTGAACACCACCAGTCTGAATTCTTTCTCCGTTGACACCAACGCAAACAAAATTAAAACCATCATTCATACGGTCACAGGCTATGCCAAGATCTCCGTTGAGGCCAGCACTATTAGAGCTTGCATCAATACGATCACCACGGTCACAGCCAACTTTGAACATACCACGGATAGCAACACAGGTGCCAGCACCATCAATGCCAACACCATCACTGGTGATAGATATATATACACACACACACTAAAACTGCTGACACCCACGCCTTCTCCAATTACTGAAACACCATCGCGAATCTCAACTCATGTCATACGGTGAAGCCAAGTAGCCACTCCTTTCCCAGTGTCTGGGGTGCCATCGGCCAACAAGACATCATGGTTCACCTGCAGGAGCAGAACCAAAAGGTCGGGTGTCGACTTTACACACTCAGAGTGGAAGGCAACAATGGCACTTGTGGTGGTATCAATGGCATTGGGCGTGACAACCTCTTGATCCTTCATACCGATATGGACAGGAAACCATTCCTCCTCGATACCAAGACAGAACGTCAGGCAAGCAACATCACGACTGCCATCATCAACGCCCGAGACTTAACACCGGCACAACAACTGAAGGCAACATGGGGCATCCCCCATGTGAAGGTGCCACCACAGCCAGCACCTGTGTGATGTCGGAGTGCGACACGAGGGGACTGGCCAGCACGTGGAACGGCTGAGTGGTCAGCGTCATGAGGGACGGAGGCTTAGCCCAGGCCGATCCGTGTGACGAGCTGCCCACCATCACCACGCGCGCACTGAAAACGTCAACACAATCGCCGTCAACGCAGCCACCTTTATACACGTACACACTTACAACAAAATCTAACACCAGCATCATCACCGCCGCCATTTCCACGCAAGGACAGGCAACATTGACATCAATGCCACCATCACCATAAGGCATGATAACAACATCCACCTTACTATGAACACTATCACATGAATACACCCACAGACCAGGATGGTAGGCCCAGACTCCACGTGCACATTTCCCTGTGTATAAACGCAATTCGTTTACGTGTCCTTGTCGGGCAGTAAATATAACGTGTCTCTGAAGTCAGGTAAGAAATAAATAAGAATACTTGGAATAACAATGCCACTTATTTACCCGTGCGAGTGCCCACCTGTAAAGCCGTGCGCGGTCCATGTACTCGTGCTGCTCCATGCCGTGCGAGTCCGTGGCCGACACATCGATTATGTTACTGACAACACGACGACAAGTTACACACTGACACAACCAACACAAACACCACCGCCGGCAAAATCACGTGACAAAGCAAAGCACATCACAGGCACGTAGACATGTCCACGTATCCATTTGACTACGGGCGAGTACGTATTAGGGTACGTGGGGGTGCACATGTTTAAAGGTTTGTTTGTGTACGTCAGTACAAGTTGGTGTGTGTGGAAAAGGGTATACATAAAATATGGGCATGTAAAAACTTGAGTGTGTATCAGAATAAGATTTGTGCCCATCCCTTGTTACTCTCGTCGGCTAACTTTTGCCATTTCAATCGTGTGAAAGTGCACCTATCCTGGCACAAGGAACAGCCACGGAATCAGAGGACAGCTAGTGTTGTTTTACCCACAATATTAAAAGTAAAAACTTATTACAGAACGCAATCAGTTTTTTTCCAGGTTCTAATTCAACGCAAGTGCGTGTGATGGTGCGTATGGGTACGTGTCAATACACATCAGGACATATTCGCCTGTTTTTGTAAAGGCTACAGTTTAACGTGAGCGCGTGCAATGGCAAGTAGGTATGGGTACGTGTACGGGTACACGAGTGCGTACTTGGCAGTCTTGACGAGGATTTGGTTGAGCGCCGACTGCTCGTACTCATGACGCGAGGACACGGCCGTGGTCTGGCTCGTCGAGCGGTAGTCGGCCCTGACACAGAGATGCGGTTCCAATGTGTGGAGACACGGTGACAAGACCCAGGCATGACAGGTAAGCAGACAGGATGCAGAATCATCCCCACCCACCTCTCACATCACGAACCGCAAGATGAAGTGTACATGCATGTTAAATAGTATGCTTTACGTTTTTGTTTAAAACAGGTGAAAACTTCAAAGATTAGGCTAGGTCTAATTTGCAAGAGTGACCTGCATGGAGAGGTCTTGGTTGGTATGGGGTGTATGAGTGGATAAATGCGTGTATAAATTTACTATTGGTGGGAAGAGGTAGTGTAGCGGTTAGCACCCTGCGATTCGAATCCGAGTTCGATTTCCACTCACCGCCAACACCAATGATTATCTGAACCGGTACTGGGCCTCCACTAGGTTGACTCAGCTTTAAAGGAGTACCTGGCACATGTAAAAACATCGCCACTGGGGAGACAAAGGCGGTCGGGCGTGGTGTTGGCCACCTACCCCCTCGTGTGCCGTGCCGGCCTTCATAAGATGCTCACTAACAGCACTTGCCGCAATAGTCTATTAAGGCTATATAGGGGATCTTTGTGTTGTCTGTCATATTTAGTATTTAGTTCATGTGTTGCTGCCTATGAGGAAAACATCTGAAATGCTCACAATCCAAGCTGTTGAGCCTCAACAGTGCTCAAATGGGCGACCGCCATGCACACATCAGGTACTGGAGGCTGCTGCGGGGCTACGTTGTCAGCAGGCGGCAGTGCAGCAAAATCTATTGCGGTACTGTATTTACACGCTCGCACATATATGCTCCCTGGCCTTCACCAATCCACGCTGACCGGCATGATGAAGTATGGTCAAATATCTCACAGAACATCCCCACAGCGTGGGGACATCGGCATTTAGCGGTTGACTGACAAGCAACGCACATACAAATGTACATACGTGCATTTGCACCATGTCTACATGTGGATATAACGTAATAATTATACAGTGTCATATTAGCGTGAAATATATTTTAACATGCTGCACAAATCAAGGTGTATTGCGCGACTATATGTAGATATGTGTCGTACTGCGTATATGCGTGCATGGGTAGCAGTCCTACCCATTGGGGTGTCGGTTGAGGTTTGACACCGGGTCAATGAGAGGCTTGACCTCTTCAGTCTGCTAATGCATGCACAACAACATGCACAAAGCTTCAGAGGAAATGTCACTCGCGCACCCCGAGTCACACATCCAAACAAATGCAGTCGTGCACAAAAACCCTCGCACACCTCCACACCAAGAACAAACACCCCCAGCACAAAACCAAGCCAAACAATTTACGCCTGCGATGCAAAACGACTTCAAAGTGTGGTGTTCTGGGTTAGGCTGTGTTAGGCATATCTTCTCTCCAGCTTTCGCCACGCACTACTACTTCAACTCCTGAAGATGCAGTGCAGTCGTGCATAACGAAAGCTCGAGAAATGAGCTCCACGCATGCCCCAACCCAGGAAACCTCAAGCCAACAGATCACTTAACGAGGCCTAAACGCCAACGTACAAAAGCAAACCCACACACCAACACGACTTCCCCAAGCCGATCCCAGCACACGGATCATCTAATAAACCCCAACTGCCGTTCACCACTAAGTGGCGGTGACGTCACCACGACGCTTGTGCCATGCTCGGTGCACTTTGAGGCCACATGCAGTGTGAAAAACCCGCTGGCAGATGCACCAACTATGCTCCCCACTGTGCCAACTATGCGCTTTATCCCCGCGGCACTCTGCTCGTTGTTGTGAGCGTCGCTCCTCTGCCCTCCATTGCTGCTGGAGGGCGACTGCCTCCAACTCCCCAGCAGAATCCTTCATGAACCTCCTCCAGAGGCTGATCTTGATACTTTCTGGTACCAGTCATCGGCAAGTCCAATCAGCTCCACATCTTTCTGCACTCACTGCACCGGACCACTTCACTCCCAACCCCGCACACCCCACAAACCTCGCGAAACCAAGCCCCACACGTCCCATATAAAAACCACACATCTCCACATGCAACTCACAGCTCCACGTGTAACATGGCATAATCACCACTTTCTCATGCATCACTCCACACCAGAGGTCGCAACCGGGTACCCGATACCCGTACCCTACCCGATACCCGGCTACCCGTACCCGGCCGGGTACGGATACCCATTTGCGACCCTGGTGCGGCCGGGTACGGGTAAGGATTCAAAACCCGTTTGCGACCTCTGCTACACACTATGCAACCAATGCACAGCATTAGACACTACAACAAACCACTCGACTCAACAATCGAACACCACCTAACAAAGAACTCCCTCTTACACCACCCAACCCCCACACGCCACTTATCAGAGCTCACAACCAAAGCATACCACCTAAAACATAGTCCATCGGCCAAAGCATGAATTGGTACCTAGGTAGCAAAACGTAAGGTCGGTAGCGATTTATTTATATGGCCAATACAAATTATTTGATATTCCGCTCAATTCAATCGGTTATCATGCAATTCACCCTTAATGGCCGCACAGCCAAATGAGAACCATTGGCACCTCATTTGTTAGCGACGAATGAAACATCTGGTCTGGGGTTCATGGACTAACAGCACACCCCACACTCCATACACCTCACAAAGCAAAGCTCGTCAAAAAACTATCTAATAAAACACTCAGGAACTACCAAACTTGACGCACAACTAGACACAACCACATACCACTTAACAAAAGCTTATCCCCCACTCACACCACGTAACAATGACAGCACCCTAATCCATCACCAAAAACAAAAGACATGAAACACCAAACGCACACCCATCTATACACACCACCTAAAAACCAACCAACACAACCCCCATCTACACACACCACCTAAAAACCAACCAACACGACCCCCATCTACACACACCACCTAAAAACCAACCAACACAACCCCCATCTCCACACACCACCTAAAAACCAACCAACACAACCCCCATCTCCACACACCACCTAAAAACCAACCAACACAACCCCCATCTACACACATCACCTAAACCAACACAACCCTATCTACACACACCACCTAAACCAACACAACCCCATCTACACACGCCACCTAAACCAACACAGCCACCATCTCCACACACCACCTAAACCAACACAACCCCCATCTACACACACCACCTAAACCAACACAACCCCCATCTACACACACCACCTAAACCAACACAACCCCCATCTACACACACCACCTAAACCAACACAACCACCATCTACACACACCACCTAAACCAACACAACCCCATCTACACACACCACCTAAACCAACACAACCACCATCTCCACACACCACCTAAACCAACACAACCCCCATCTACACACACCACCTAAACCAACACAACCCCCATCTACACACACCACCTAAACCAACACAACCCCCATCTCCACACACCACCTAACAGACAGTAGGCGCAAGTGCTGTTGGCGAGCACCTCTTAAGGCCTGAAAGGTACTCGGGGGGTGGTGGGTGGCAAGCACCACGCCCGACCGCCTTCGTCTCCCTCAGTGGCGATTACTTAACACACCGCACCAACTACTCATTTGAGGCCGAGTGGCTGTCGGGGCAGGCCCAGGACCCGGTTCAAATACAGTAATCGGCACTGGTGTTGTGGGTAATCGAACTAGGGTCACCGAGTTCGTGAGGGCAGCGCGCTCGTCGCTCTCCCAGTATCACCATCCCTACACCCACCCCTACACCCACCCACCCCTACACCCACCCACCCACCCACCCCTACACCCACCCACCCACCCACCCCTACACCCACCCACCCACCCCTACACCCACCCACCCACCCCTACACCCACCCACCCACCCACCCCTACACCCACCCACCCACCCCTACACCCACCCACCCACCCTACACCCACCCACTCCACCCACCCCTACACCACCCCCTACACCCACCCCCCCTCCCCTACACCCACCCTCCCCTACACCCACCCACCCCTACCACCCTCCCCTACACCCACCCCTACACCCTCCCCTACACCCACCCCCACACCACCCACCCCTACACCCACCCACCCCTACACCCACCCACCCACCCCTACAACCCACCCACCCACCCCTACACCCACCCCTACACCCACCCACCCCTACACCCACCCCTACACCCACCCACCCCTACACCCACCCCTACACCCACCCACCCCTACACCCACCCACCCACCCACCCCTACACCCACCCACCCACCCACCCACCCACCCACCCCTACACCCACCACCCACCCACCCCTACACCCACCCTACCACCACCCTACCCCACCCCTACACCACCCACCCCCCACCCACCCCTACACCCACCCACCCACCCACCCTACACCCACCCACCCCACACCCCCTACACCCACCCCCACCCCCCATACACCCCCACCCACCCACCCCTACACCCACCCACCCACCCTACCCCTAACCCACCCACCCACCCTACACCCACCCCTACACCCACCCCCCCCCTACACCCACCCACCCCTACACCCACCACCCACCCCTACACCCACCCCTACACCCCCACCCACCCCTACACCTACCCCTACACCTACCCACCCACCCCTACACCCTCCTACACCCACCCCTACACCCACCCACCCCTACACCACCCACCCTACCACCCACCCACCCTACACCCACCCACCCCTACACCCACCCACCCCTACACCCACCCCTACACCCACCCCTACACCCACCCACCTACACCACCTACACCCACCCCCCACCCACCCACCCCTACACCCACCCACCACCCCTACACCCACCCCACCCACCCACCCCTACACCCACCCACCCACCCCTACACCCCACCCACCCCTACACCCACCCACCCACCCTACACCCACCCACCCACCCCTACACCTACCCCTACACCCACCCCCCTCCCCTACACCCACCCTCCCCTACACCCACCCACCCCTACACCCACCCTCCCCTACACCCTCCCCTACACCCACCCCCACCCACCCACCCCTACACCCCTACACCCACCCCTACACCCACCCACCCACCCCTACACCCACCCCTACACCCACCCACCCACCCCTACACCCACCCACCCACCCCTACACCCACCCACCCACCCCTACACCCACCCCTACACCCACCCACCCACCCCTACACCCACCCACCCCTACACCCACCCCTACACCCACCCACCCACCCCTACAACCACCCACCCACCCTACACCCACCCACCCACCCCTACACCCACCCACCCCTACACCCACCCACCCCTACACCCACCCACCCCTACACCCACCCACCCCTACACCCACCCACCCACGTTGTTCCTCTCCCATCCAAAAGCTTTGAAATTCCAAACACTACGCACCCCCCTGTGAACCCAACCTCACTGCGCAACAACTACAACCTCCGCCGCCGCGCATGTACCGCTGCCAGGGCCTCCGTCGTCTCTCGGCCTCTTCGATTATATTAAAGACACATCTCTCTCTCTCTCTCTCGCTGGGGTTATACGAATGGCAAAACAGACACGAGGAAGAGGTAAGAGAGAGAGAGGAGCTGTTTCTCAAGCGCAACGGAGCCAAGCTTAGCAGCAGCAAGCTTAGCCGCAAATCGGGACCAGTGGCGCCCTGGAGCCAAATCGCCTCCCCATGTCGAGAACTCCTGAAGGGGGAGATCCGACCCCTCAGCTCCTCCGTCTCGTGCACACATCCAGTAAACCTATGCACAGCGCCTAACCAACCATGTAACCACTCGCTAAAGGATCACCGTCCATCAATTTCTCCATCCAAATCGTCATCCAACCACGCTGCAGGTCAAAGGCGCGGCCGGTCTCTTTTCCGCGTCTTCCCTCGCAACTGCTCCCCTACAATCGTAACGAAGTAATTCCTCCACTCCAGTCGCCTCATTGTCACCCTTCTCTCGCTGCCACACGCGTTCACCTCACCGACAACCTCCCCCCCCTCCCCCACCATGTCGTGGTTTGTAGTCCACTCCGCACCAGGACCCCAAATCTCGTGTCTCGTCCCACGCGGTGTTCAACCACCGCCGCACGCTTCCACATTGACATCACCATCAGCTTTGTCTTTCACCTCGCACGGCTCACAACTCTGCAATTCCCTCACCATCCCCCCCAAGTCATGATCATCATAATAGTAAGTGTAATAGACTTAAGCAGTTGGAGGGGGTGGGAAGGTCGACCCGTGACTTATTAAAGAACCACCGTCTATTGTGGATTTACCACCGTTGCATTGACGGCTTTCGACATATTTCGTTGTTTTTTTTACGAATAATTTTGGTTGCCGAGCCCTGGCCTAGTCCCGTTTCAAGAAAACGCACCGCTGTGCTTCAACAACAACTTCCCTCTTTTACTCAATACGTCCTGGCGAGGCGTGGAAGAGTAGGCCTAACACACTCTCTTCACGGGGGGGGAGGGGGGGTCCCCTCTCTTTTCTCTCGAGTGGTGAAGTCGACCCTGCGCTTCTTCGGTCGACAAGCGTTGCGGCAGCGTTGCTGCTGAATCACCATCACCACCATCGCCACCCTCCACCACCACCATCATCAACCACCACCAACCTCCACCACCACCACTAACCAAACTACACCACCACCAACCAAACTCCACCACCATCATCATCACCACCACCACCACCACACCACCACCTCCATCACCACCACACCACCACCATCATCACCACCACCTCCATCACACCACCATCACACCACCTCCATCACCACCTCCATCACCACCACCATCATCACCACCATCACCACCACCATCATCACCACCATCATCACCACCATCACCACCACCATCACCACCACACCACCTCCATCACCACCACCTCCATCACCACCACACCACCTCCATCACCACCACCACCATCATCAACCACCACCAACCTCCACCACCACCAACAACTACACCACCACCAACCAAACTCCACCACCACCATCATCACCACCACACCACCACCATCACACCACCACCTCCATCACCACCACCATCATCACCACCACCACACCACCTCCACCATCACCACGTTGTTTTTAAATTTACAAACTTGGCCTCGTGCCGATCGTCGCTGGCCGCACGGCGTTCTGGGCCCGGGGCGAGGGAGCGGGCGGGGTGGGAGGATATAGTCGTAACGTAACAGGACATTTGTGTTCAAACATAAACATCGACTCAATTCTTCCCCACCCCCCACCACCACCACCTTGTTCACCTGCTCCGAGTCGCCGTTCTCCTTGCTGAAGCAGCACCCCATTGCTGGCGGCGCGGCTCTCCAACACACTCCCCCCGCCCGTTCCTTCCTCCTCCTCCTCCTCTCACGCGGCCATGAGTGGGAGTCGCAGAGGGGGGGTGGGGGGGGTTAAACACAAATCAAGAAACTTAAACCGGTTTGATGGAATGAGCGGGAAGAGAGAGAACAAAAAGGGGAGAGAAACTAAATCAGCGACGACGACGACGACTGCGACAGCGCGACATGAGCGACGCGCTCCCTTATTAAGGGGGGAGGGGGGGGGGGAGTCACGCGCACCCGTCACGTGCCACCGCGACGTCACGTCCGCGCCAACGCGGGAAGTGGCGTCATCGCGCTCCTCCCCCGAGCGTGGACATGACGTCATTTAGCAGCTTCTTGTCACTTGCGTTTTTTTTATGGGGGGAAGATTTGAAATTCCCACGACCAGAATCTTGGTTGGTGTCTTTGAGACTGGAGGAGGAGGAAGGAAATTCGGGATGGGCTAATACGTTTTAATGTATTTTAATAAGTTATTTTACCCCCCACGCATGTTCACTGTGAATCCCTTATCAGTGCCCTACCTTATTACAGACCAAATCAGACCTTATTGGTCACCCTGTGACACTTATAAATCTTAAAGTTCATCCTGCAAAGTCCCATTACAAGGGGGAAACACACACATAGACAATCACCACTAGTGCACTCACCATGACACTCACCACGTGTACACTCACCACTAGTACACTCACCACTACATACCTGTTAACCCCTTATCAGTGCCCTACCTTATTGCAGACAATTCAGACCTTACTGGTCACCCCGTGCACTTAAAAATCTCAAAGTTTATCCTACAAAGTCCCATTACAGGGGAGAAACACAAACAAATAGACATAAACATGACCTCAATTTGCCTGCACAAGAATACGGGCAAATCGCATGGGTTGACAGATGAGTGTTCAGTAAGGGGGTGGGTGCCGCAAGTTATACGCGATGCAAAAGGAAAAACCGATAGGAGTGCAACAATAGAACAAAAAGATAAGCAAAGTCACTAAATATAAATAAAGTTGACATGTCCGGTTTTTACAACACCTAAATGCAAGCTTGGGCAAGGCAGCAAAACGACAGTCCCCAGACCACACCGAGACATCACACAATCCCTCAATAAAGTGGCACGTATAAACCATCGAGACCCGGGTAACGAGGATCAAAGTTACAAATCACATTCGGAAATGTGGCTTTATCCAGCGCTAATATTTTGCATCAGGACATTTATTTCAGGAAGATTTACAATGTGAAGGGAGGAAACGAGGTTGTTCCAAAACGTTGGTGCTGCAACGGCAAAGGCTTCGTCACCAATACCATGGCTTGTCATGGTGACGAGTAGGCCTCGGCAAGGTAAGGTAAAAGTGTAAAAACAACGAACCTACCTTTACCCTACCTTTTACCTTACCACAATACAATCACTCTACCCTACCTTTCACCCTTTAGCAGGTAAGGTAACATGTAAAAAGCAACGAGCCTACCTTTACCCTACCTTTTACCTTACCACAATACAATCACTCTACCCTACCTTTCACCCTTTAGCAGGTAAGGTAACATGTAAAAAGCAACGAGCCTACCTTTACCCTACCTTTTACCTAACCACAATACAATCACTCGACCCTACCTTTCACCCTTTAGCAGGTAAGGTAAAAGGTAAAAAACAACGAGCCTACCCTTTACCCTACCTTTTACCTAACCACAATACAATCACTCAACCCTACCTTTCACCCTTTAGCAGGTAAGGTAAAAGGTAAAAAACAACGAGCCTACCCTTTACCCTACCCTTTACCCTTACCCCTTGGCATGTCGACACCTTTACCCTTACCCTTTTACCCGGTAAAATGGGTAAATTACCCTACCTTGCCGAGGCCTAGTGACGAGTTTGTCATTTACCATGAATCTACAGCTTTATCAATCCACTGCTGGACGGAGGGCCCTCCTAATGCCACGTTGGTCCTTTAACCATACTTCACCATGGCTGGTCAGTAGCAGGTTCGTTGGCCGGTTTTGAGATCGGGTTCGAGGGTAATTTCCTGGGTTTCGTCGGAGAGTTCAGGTGCTCGGTACGAAATGAGCCACGTGGCTCGCCACTGATGTTCGCCGTGGCCAGGCATTGGAACCCGGGTTACAAGGTCATGTGGCACCGTGCGCAAATGCCTCCATCACTGCTGTAAATTATGCTATTAGAACTGCGTTTGTGTTTAGTTTGTGTTCCGTCTCGCCGCACCCCCCATTAGCACGGTTGGCTACGTAAGGTGCGAAAGAAGTTCAACATGCATACATTATTAAACGTTTGTGGCAGCAAACGAGCTCGCAGGAATTAAGCCCAAAATAGGTTGTGGGATAACAAGGTCTGCCTGCCACGCACGATCAGCAAGTGGGTTGATGTGATCAAATCATTATTTTTGTAACCAAATAATTACAGTGAATGGAAACCTGCCGTATTTTCCAAAATGAGGAATTAATTTGCAATACAAAAAAAATGTGTAACCATGAAGCTGGCACACATCCCTACCCCTTTTTAAATCCTTTATATTAAGTTCACTTGCTTGCTTGCTTACGACCGTGCAAATCTTTCGGTCGTTTTTTTAACCCACTTCCCGTGATCCAATCGAGATGACATTTTCCCCACAGACTCGTTGTGCATGACAATTAATCAGTTTAACACGTAGGCTTTCGCGACCATTATGAATGACAATTAATGTTCGTGAAATTTTTTTTCCAAAATTTTACACTTTTTAGGACAAAAATATTATATTTCATTACCAATTGCTTAATGGTGCAATGCAATCATCTGACTCATAGGTCGCAGCCATCTCAAGCCAGAGGACGAGAGGACTCTAGCCGCCACGCATATAAAGGATTTATAGTGAAAAACTTAGTTTTTACGGGTTATACTTGTTTAATAATAATGTCACGAGACATTTAACATTCACTCTTCTTAAGCGCCCAGTATTAACCAGGCCCGCCGTTTGGGCACTAACCGCGAGCCCCTGCAAAGAGCAATAAACCACTACAGCTCTGCCAAGTCACTTCCTAAATGACATTAGCTTCATGTGTATTCTCGCACGTACGGTACGAAAAGTTCAACGTTCATACATGTCCGAATTAACAAGGCTGCGTGCCAACACTGACGATTGGCTTTTAAATACATAACGTGGAAATTCCTTTTGGGCTACTCGCATTCACGTTGGAAATGCAAAGTTTTATCGCCATATTCACCGCATTAAAATCCACACCCAAAACTTTTTCTCCATGTCAATTAAGTTAATAAATTCTGGCTACACACAGCTACCGGATTATAAGACCCCTCCACACAAGCCCCCAACTATAGCTTAAAAATACAGGGGCGGGGAAAAGCGCTTCTTATAAACTAGAGTACGACGCGGTGATGTACAAACAAGCCCACTGGAGACACGCTATCGGACTAGACAGGCACACAGACATGGGGGCGTGCTTCATTACATTTATTGAAATCTCATCGATCCATTTTCAGTGCAGGAGCTTCTGGGTTTCAAAAACAGTGGCAGACAACCACAAGAAGCGGAGTGTGTTTACGAACTCACATGAGGGGGCTTACTGTGGAAACCTGACCACCAGTCCCGCGAATGTCCACGACCCCCCTCCGTCCCACCGACCCACTCGCGTGTCTTATTTGTTGCGCACAATGTGGCGACACAAGATAACAAGATGTAGTGCAGCGGCCTTCTTAGCCACCCGCGAGTTGCCTTTGCTGCGGCATGATGGACATGATGCAGGGGAAGGTTTGAACGTGCACTGGGAATGTCAGCGTCGCATCGTGGCAACAAAATATACCATTACACACCTTGAAACAAACACTTCACTAACATTCCTAGCACCGACTTGACTCGAGGGGAGGACACGCGATTTCTGACTTTAGGAACCTAGGGAAAGGGGGTGGGGGGTGCAGGGAATCAGTGGTTTTAAATTTGGGGGGGGGTGGGGGGGCTGACATACCAAAAAGGTTGAGAATCACTGGTGTAGTGTGCATGCGTGATTACAGAATACAATCCAAGTCGAAGCTTAATTTACAGCCTGTTATGAATACAATGCAGTCATGGGGGTCATTGGACCGTATTTTGCCACACTAGTCAGTGTGGGTTGGTGAAGGGGTTGTGTCTCTGACGTGCTTCATTAACATGCTGTGCCCTACACGCTGCAGACTACGCTGTTGTAAGAAGTGCCGTGTGTGGATGGGGGTGTGTGCATGTCGCACGTTGTCATACATATGGCCCCATGTGCACGTCGAAGTGCAAATTGAACGACGTACAGGACAATGCACGCAGTAAGGTAGTGGTAGGAGTATGTCACTTGCGTTTCACTCGGTGTGGTTTGGTGTGGGTTTGTGGATATGTACACGTTACCACGTGTAGGACAGGGCGTGGTAGTACATGACGCAATGCGTTTTCTTATACGTAATGTCGTGTACATGCTTGTGTGCACAGCATAAATGTGTAGGACACTAATTTGGGTGCTGGTGGTGTACATGTGTTGCATGATACGTGCTCCTGTGTACATGGCAGAGTACACGGTGGCATGCGTAGAACAACTGACCGCAGCGTTCACATACGCAGGGCACAGCAGACAACAACGAGGATCACTTGACCATACTCCATGTTGATCGGCGCGGTTCGGCGAATTGTGTATTCGTACGTAGACATGTCGTGGCACTGTGGCGAGCGTTGCGATGTACGCGAGCCTTTGCGCAATGCAGCGGCGAACGTGGTACGGCGCGCACGACCAGCGCGGCGTACACACGCGCACGCACGCACGCGCGGGTGAGCGGGCTATCACAGGATGTACTTGAAGCTGAATGTGCGCACGCAGGATAGCGGCCGCCCGCGGCAGCGCGAGCACAGGTCCTGGCGGTGAGGGCGACGCGGGGCTCGCGGGAACGAGCGGCCTTGCACGGACGAGCACACGCACACGGGGCGCGAACACCGCTGCACGGGGGGGAAAGGGGACACATGCACAAAATACACGCGAGTGCAGGGGATATACAAACAGGGCAACTCGTAGCACGCTGCCACCGCCCCCTCCCCCTCCTTCCCTTTCCACTGGCACATACGAGCCATGCTCGTGGGACAGCTCATCATGGTACGGGTGGTTTTCCACTGTTTATTTGCAGTGGCGACAGAGCCCAGGTCAAGGTATGCATCCTCGCGGAGGACATGGATACTACAAATGCACACTCAAGGGTGGACTCACATGGGATGTGCATAGCATAGGGCACACACGAAAAACACATTCCCCTTACAGCTATAGACCGCTGGGGCACAAGTGCTGATAAGAGAGCAGCTATGAAGGCCGGCACGCTGCACAAATGGGTGGTGGTGTGGCCAGCATCACGCTTAGCCATCTTTTGTCTCCTCGGTGCTGATGCTTACACAGCACACCAGTCACACAAACTAGGAGAGGCCCAGGACCAGTTAAAGTAATTGCCATTGGCCCAGGAATGTAACTCAGGGCACAGGGTTCTTAGCATTGCACAAACCACTACGCCACCGCTCCCACACCCACGCACGCAACAGTCACGTGCAAAGACTTTGCACAGACTTTTGGACCAAGTGCTGTTCACAGACACCAATTAAGGCTAGCACGGTACAAGGGGATGGGTGGCCAGCACCACACCTGGCCACCTTTGTCTCCCCAGTGGCGATGTTTACACGTTGCACAAGGTATTCATTTGAGGCCGACTCGATCTATTGGGAGGCCCAGGAACAGTTCAGACAATTGCTATCACTGGTGTTGGCTGCGAGCGGGAATCGAACTCGGGTCACCAGGTTTGTAGCACAGCACGCTAACCGCTACACTACCACTCCCCAGTCACGTGCCCACGCACGCACGCACACGTGCATGCCATTTTATTCTTGCACGCATTCGTGTCTCACCGAACACACGATGTCCTCCACGCGGTAAGGATTGAAGGACTTCTGACACTTCCGACAAAGCTGCTTGAAGTAAACCTGGTGAGAAAGAGGAGCGGCATCATCTGCTATGTTTGTAATAATCACAGGCATTACCCATATCATACAACAACAAAATTCAAAACCCTCTGCTGCTGGACCACATCCAGATTTTATGGCTTACCAAAAATCCATAAAGAGGGTACACCCCTTCGGCCTATCATCTCCACCATTGACTCACCCACCTACAAACTGGCCCGATTTCTGTCTGAGACTTACAAAAATTCACTGGTAAGACCACCTCAGCTGTACTTAACTCAGCCCACTTGGTATCGTTAATTAGGGACATCTCACTATCTCCAGGTGATTTGCTTGTCAGTTTCGATGTAGTATCTTTGTTTACCAAAGTTGCCTGTTCTGGACACCGTTGCAATCGTTGAAGAGTTGGTCCAACAAGGACCGAATGCTGATGTACCGGCTCTAGTTAGACACTGCCTCACCGACACTTACTTCACCTGGAATGGAACATTCCACAAACAAGTTGAAGGTACCCTAATTGGTTATCCATTATCTCCAGTTGAAGCCAATGTTTTCATGGAAAATTTTGAGACAGATGCCATCCAAGCATCCACCCTACGTCCTTCATCATCTGGCCACATGGCCTACCAGCTCAGGACCAATTCTTCAAACACATCAATTCCATACACTCAGCCATCAAATTCACAATGGATGTGGAAAAGGATGGCAAGTTACCATTATTGGACACCGTCTATAGGAAAGCCACCCATACAGATGCCTACCTAAAACCTGACTCCATCCCAGAAGAATTCCCTCATCAAAACTCTACACCATAGAGCTCAATGTATTTTTGACCATCACCACCTAGCCAGTAAACTAGAACGCGTAGACCAAGCCCTCAAGATGAATGGATATTCAGACTACACAATCCATAAAACTATCACCCTAACCGTTGGGAAAAAAACATCTGAGGAACCAATCAAAACCATCACCTTGCCATACATAGCAGGTGTCACCAGACAGATCTCCAAAATCATGAGCAAACAAAAGATCCAGGTTCGATTCAACACAGTACATAAAATTTGTGATCTGAGCCCATCTGTGAAGGATGTGATCCCTGACATACAATACCCCGGCGTCTAAAAACTAAGCTGTGTCTGCGGCAGTAGTTACATTGGGGGAAACTAAGCGACATGTCTCGGACTGTGTTCGTGAACACGAGGCAGACCTGAAACATGGTAGGACCAATACCTGAGCCGTGGCTGATCATTGTTTTAATGCGGTGGGCTCACACGAAATCAATTTTTCCAAGACGAAGGTACTCTACAAACCCACTGGCTATCAGCCAAGATTCGTTAATGAAGCCATCCAGATATATAAACAGACACAATTTGGTGAGAAGATGGGTACAAAATGAGCAATCATTGGAAGGACGTTATTAACCAGGTTAAGTCATAACTGGCTGGGATGTTTAGTAGTTATTTTCGACTCTCTGGTGGTACATTAACAGGTTAAATGTCTTTACATTAACAGGGGAATGTCTCACTAACAGAGCCACCGTTGCTCGTTTTCCTTGATGTGGCAGTGGCTCTACGATCTTACATTGACATGCTAATCTCTCACAATACAAGGGCCACCTCCGCAGCCTCGTTGTCGTGGAGGTAGCTCAGCTCTGCGATTCAAATTTCATCACTAGCCCCGCCCACTTCACTTAGGACCCTTGGGCTTACACCCATCTCAAACCTTTATAACATCCTGCCTCAGCAGCTCTCTCGCTATTTGTTCACCCGATGACGATTGCTTATATTGCGATCAAAACGTGATATTTTTATTATTTTTTCTATCTATGTGGCTTTACTGAAAGACCCAAAGAATATATATTATAAAGCCAGAACATTTGAAACTAGGGATAATAAAAATACTTTTCCACAAATGCATCAGAACCATTCTGAAACTATGACTGTCCCAACCAAACCGGGATGCTTGGTAGCTTTACTCTTGCGCCTGCTGCTTACCTTGAAGGTGCCGGACACACACCAGGTGAAGGCACTTTCCCATCGTGTGCCACATTCCCGGCAGTGAAAATAGCCGTACTTCTGTTCCAGAAACTAAAATCACACGCGCACACACACGCACAGACGTGGGAGAAATATGAGCCCAGTCCATCAGCCAGGCTCGCCAACACAATGGGGGAAATCTCAACTTGATTCACACATTTCAAGAGTGATTTCATGTTTAAATCAGCATCGAGGAGGTGCTCACCTCCTGTTTACAGCCCTGAGCCAGTGGTGGAAATTTACACGTTCCAGGGAAAGGGGCGAGTCTATCAAAACGACGATTACCGTTGACTTTTCCACAAAGTGGTACGAGTCAAGCCCCTAAAAGCAGGCATTCAACTCGCAACCTTCCGATTGCAAGCCGCTTGCTCTCCTGCCAAGATGCCAGGCCGACCCGTGCACACTGGGAAAACCTCAACCCTTGATTGACAAAACATAAGCCAATCCCAAAGTGCTTGCCCACAAGACAGCAAACATTTCAACCTGGGTGACCGACACAAGAAAAAATCCCAACATGATCACGGCGTAGGAAACAACCTTGGCCAGGTAGGAACATACAGCATGCAGGGTTCCCGGAACCACGCGGAAAGGCTCCAGGATCGCAAACATCTGATTATGGCCCACATACCTGAAACGACGGGTAGTTCCTTTTCTCCTGCCCTTCGGTCACATGGTCGCTTTCAACTTCCCCCCCACTTTCTGCATTGGCCGGGTCACTTCCTGCTTGTTGGGCTTTGACGACATCATTTCCTTGATCCTGGGCTTTGGTGACGTCACTTCCTGCTGGCTGGGAACTGTTAGTTCTGGTAACCCCTTCCGTGGCGATGACGTTTTGCGGATGGCGCAAGGGTACGTAGGAGCATATTGCGCCGATTCCACATGGTGAAGAGGCCTTCCCCTGTATGGAAAGAAAGAAAATTGTCCAAATAAAAGTGATTGCTTTTTTAATAATGGGATGAAAGCATAAGCAACATTTTACTGCACATTTATTTTGAAAAAAATTATTCCCCTAAAAAGCAATCCCCAATTTCATAGCAAGGTCAGATTTTCAGATTAAATCAGAAAATCTGAAGCACAACCCAAATAAAAATATAGCCATATAAAAAAAGTGTCCATCTAAACCACAATTTTATTTGGTCAATTCTTTATAACTGCACTTGCAATTGCATTTGACTATATTTAATGTTTGTGATTTTTGAACTAATTTGCCTGTGCCAAATTGCACAATAGGGAATGCATTATTCATCACCGATTTATTTTTTGTGCAATATTTCCGATATCTATTCTGACGATAGTTGTTTTTTGCGCCGATTTTAATTTGCTTCACCTGCTGTACTTACGCAAATGAGACGCTATCCTGGTCTTGTCAATTCTCACCTGGTTAAACAAAATAAACTTGAAAATTTCAGTCAAATGTGAGGTTAAGGTGATGATGCCGACACGGTTTGTCAGTCACACACGAGGGCGCACACGCGTGAGGTCGCACGCACCAACTGGCCCTTCTGGGCTTGCGGCCTCTGGCCAAGAAGTGGACGTGGCCTCAGATCTGGGCGGACGTGGATGGGGCCCTCCAGGTCGCACTGAACGGAGGAGTCACGGCGCGGGGACACCTGGACCGCAACCTCGCGTGTATAGGGGCCAACCTGGTCACAATAACAACAACAAAACACCACAACATCCGCAATTATACCACTATAACCACTTTGAACAAAAGGCCATTTAGCTCGTTAGGGCAGGAAAAACAAAGACAAAGCTGTGAGGCAGGCAGAAAGCGGCACCAACAATTTCCCAAGCTCTGTGGTCCTCCATTTGGGGAGAAGATACTTGCTATGTATAATCATAATTTAAAAATTTGCGGGAAAAATTTCAACCTTCTCAAAAATTAGACCGCGACGTCGGCACACAATGAACTACTCTCGCGAATGATTTCCTGGGATCTTTAACGTTTACGGCACGCATTGTTACGATTATTACAGCAGCAATATTCGTCAGGGGGGCCCGCTGGATTCGAACCGTTGAACCTCTGCTGCAATTGGCAAATGCCCTACAGCTAGGACAGAGGTCAGCACCCAAAATAACAGGAGTAGCCATTTTTTCGAATTTGGTAAAACACTTAATATTCCAAGAGCCGCAATGCCACGTGAATACCAGATGGTGGTCTTTAATAAATAATGTCATGAAGCAGTCCTTAATGAGCCGCATGCTGCTCCGCAGTAGCAGGTTGCAGACTCCTAACCACGGTAAACTGGACCTCCCATGGTAAGGGGTCGACAACCAAAATAACAAGAAAAGTTATTTTTGTTACAATTCAGTAACAAAAAAAAACCCTCAATATTTCAAGAACCGCAATGCAGTCCTATAAGAGGTGCACGCAGCTCCGGAGCCGCAGGTTTGCAGACCCTTGAGAGAGGCCACGTCAGGATACATCTCCTCTATGAATACAGCGGTCCCCCCGCCCGCCCGCCGGAAGTCCTCTTGAAACGGCCGCCCTCGCCAGAAGGCCAGCCGCTATGTACGGACAGAATTCCTGGGCAAACACTGACACGATACTCAACCCCTCATGGCCAGCCACCACTCGCACACAGCCAAAATCTACATGGAGTCCCCTTATATAATGTCACCATCTCACACACACACACACCACCACAGGCAACATCAACCCCACCCACAAACAGTGACACAGTGACAGCACTGCATCCACAGAAATACACCCGCAACCACCAAACACCAACAGTAGTATCGTCGTGCTCAAATTTTTTTGTAAATGTTGTGGTTTCACGCTTCAACACACCGGTGGGCTAAATTAGTGAACTATTTGTCTTTTGTCAACGTGATACTTTTTTGCTGATTGGCCATGTCGGGTGGTGGAGGGTTACGACACATTTATAAATAACGCGATCCAACCCAAAAACGTTGATTATGAACAGTATCGTCACTGCCACCATATGACAACTACCAAACCACCGCCGCAACCAGCCACCTTACTGCAACCGACCATCAACATAAGCACACAAAAGCAAAGATTCCCCCCCACCCCCCCCCTGGTGCAGCCGATAACAGACTGTTGCCAGCACCATGCCCAGCTGCCTTTTTATCACCGGTAATCATTTACAGCGGAGTCGACCTAGATAAGACACAAGATAGGTTCATATAAATCACTCGTCACAGATGTAACCTGTGTCACTGAATCGGACCTAGCTACAGGGTCGCTGGGTTTGTAGCGTAGTGCGCTAACCGCTGTACCAGCACTCTATCCCACATCAACACAAATATCCTCGTACAGAATACATTGGCACCCATGATTGTTGGCATTTAAGGCCGAATCGACCTTGGGGAAAGCTCAGGACAGGTTCGGTTATTCATCGCTGATGGTGGCATTGAGCGGGAATCGAACTCGGGATTTCTGGTTTCGTAGCGCAGTGCGCTAACCGCTGCACTACCACACACAACGCGTGCACGGCCCCGGTTAAGGTTACCTCTCCTTCCAGAAGGGTGGTGATGTCTCCGGGCCACTGGGCCAGTTTCCAGGCCAGAGGCCAAGGGGTCCATTGCCAAGCAGGCACGAGCTGTGTGTAGGGAACAGCACAGATTAGGCGCAGGCAACAACGCCCAGGCCCTGTTGTCAATCCACTGCTGGATGAGGGGGGTCTCCACAGGCCGTGCGAGTTGTGGGGGGTATGGAGGTCTGGGGGGAGGGGGGGTCAATCCTGTATTCTAACCACGCTGGTCCGTACCGGTTGGTGAAGGCAGGGGCCATAGAGAACGGGCAGGACAGTACAACCAACACACCAATGGGTTTCGTTGGCTGCACTGCTCTCGGCTGCCCACCACGTAGCCCCAGAGCTGCCTCTAGCCAGGACCGTATCATCCAACAGGCACGGTAGGCACCGCGTCTGGGGCCAACGAAAACTGAAGGGCCCACGAATAAAAAAATGTGACCATGTTTTTTGTTGTTTGTATGATAACATTTTTTAGCAAGATATCTTCTTGAATAAATATATTTACGTATCAAGGATCGGCAGAGTATAAATATTCAAAGATGCAGTAATGTCAATCGCTTTTTTTTTTCATAAGGGCTCGGTCAATGGCCAGGGTCAACGGCGGCGTGGTGTATTCAGCAAATATACCCAACTGTGAGGGCGGGTACAGGCCGGCGTGAGTAGGTTAAACGTTGAGGTTTATAAGGGCACCACGGGGTGACCAGCCCCTCCCCACCCAGCCCCTCCCCACCCAGCCCCTCCCCACCCTCCCCACCCAGCCCCTCCCCACCCTCCCCACCCAGCCCCTCCCCACCCTCCCCACCCAGCCCCTCCCCACCCTCCCCACCCAGCCCCTCCCCACCCAGCCCCTCCCCACCCAGCCCCTCCCCACCCAGCCCCTCCCCACCCAGCCCCTCCCCACCCAGCCCCTCCCCACCCAGCCCCTCCCTGCACGACGGACGGACGGACACAATAATCCCCTGTGGGCTGGTGTAACCAGGAGGTTCATACCAGCAAGAACCTTAATCCGGCCCTGCCTATAGCATCAAGGCACTCTAGTTACAGTATATAGATCTTTAATGTCGATTGTTTACCCGGGAAAGCATCTGCGAGTGTCCGTGCCTCGATCTTTTGTTGTTGTTCCAGTCTGGGGTAGAGTTACGTGAAGTCTTAATTCAGTGGCTTTTTTTTACCAGGCTCGGGGTGGGGTTTTTTTTACCCCCTACTTGGCTTTCGAGATCCACACTCATGCCGAAATCATTCGATCACAGGCAATCGCATTGCAATCATGATTATTTACCTTTACCAAGTCGAAGGTGAACCACTTTTAACGAATTCGTAGGTCTACAAATCGGAATCTGGTTTGTACATCGCCTCTCTGAGGGGTGGGGGGGGGTCGTGAACATTACATTGCTTCCTATCGTCCGGATTACAAGACGCTCCGTGTCAATAAAGTTTAACAAGATCTGCTCACTCACACAAACACACCGGAATGTAAGACGGACCCCCTCCCAACGTTTGCTTTAAATCACAAAGCAGGGAAAAGGTGCGTCTTATTATCCGGAACATACGACCATCGTACTCAAGTTTATACTTACCGAAAAAGTTAACGACTATTAAAAGCGGTTACCACAATGGCAACATTCCACAAACAGCACATCACCAACAACTCTGACAAACAGAGACTTATACAGCCACGAGCGGCGAAATCGACATGCGTATGATGAATAATACAAATATAACGTTTAAACGTAAAGTTACCGCTGACTATGATTAATATTGCACACGAAAAGTAACGACTTCGGTTCCAAGCCGACCACTCACTCCTCTGGGGCTCATCGCCATCTTCGAATTGTTGGGGCACGGGTCACGTGCCGCCTTTTAATTGGTGACGTCACTAATTAGCTATCAACCCCAGGTGCACGAGGGGTGGAGACGCCCCCGCCCACCCTCCCCCCCAAACACTCCGCCCACCACCGACCCCACTTACCCACCCCACCTACCCCACTTACCCCCCCACCTATCCCCCCCCACCTATCCCCCCCCACCCCACCTATCCCCCCCCCACCTATCCCCCCCACCTATCCCCCCCCCACCCATCCCCCCCCACCCCACCCCACCTATCCCCCCCCACCCCACCTATCCCCCCCCACCCCACCTATCCCCCCCACCCCACCTATCCCCCCCCACCCCACCTATCCCCCCCCCACTCACCTATCCCCCCCCACCCCACCTATCCCCCCCCACCCCACCTATCCCCCCCCACCCCACTTATCCCCCCCACCTACCCACCCCACTTACCCCCCCACCCCACCTATCCCCCCCCACCCCACCTATCCCCCCCCACCCCACCTATCCCCCCCCACCCCACCTATCCCCCCCCACCCCACCTATCCCCCCCACCCACCTATCCCCCCCCACCCCACCTATCCCCCCCACCCCACCTATCCCCCCCACCCACCTATCCCCCCCCCCACCTACCCACCCCACTTACCCCCCCACCCCACCTATCCCCAACCCACCTATCCCCCACCCCACCTATCCCCCCCCCCCACCTACCCACCCCACTTACCCCCACTTACCCCCCCCCCACTCACCCACCCCCCCCCACCCACCCACCCCCCCCCCCAATATTCCACGTTTCCTAAAAATCTCATGAAGGCGTTGCCGAGTCAAGTGAAGGAAATTCCACGGTTCGATGCCGTGCAACCGCTGCCATGGCCTTGGGTTTGCGATCTCGCTCGGATTCCTCCACGTAGAATGTACATACGATGCTATAAAAACGAATGACGTTTTAACTTGCGGCAGGTTTTTTTCAATCTCCCCTTTAATTCTCCCATTTCGCCTCTCCTCCTTCAACTCCACTGGCTGCCCGCTGACTGCACATCTGTCTTTTCAAATACCTGACGCCAATGGCGGAGCCAGGATTTCCAGGTAGAGGGGAGGCAACCCCTCCAGCAATGAAAAATGATAGAGGTGTTGTTAGTAAGTAAGGACTTGTCTCTTGCTTTTTATTGGACGCGTGTGCGGCGATGCGCAGCCCATCGATCGAGGGTCGAATTCGAACCGCGTTGTGTGATCGGCATCGCGCTCGCTGAAGGTGTTGATGCCTTCAGGGAAGTCGTGTCCTGTATACGCAACTGCGCACAATTCTGTGAGTCACTTATAACTGCTTTGCCGTTACTTATTGCCAATTATGGACTCAAGACTATTGTCCTATCATCTCATAGAGTCCGTGGCACATAATAATATGCTACACAGTGGCAGTGGGGGGTCGCAAAATGCTGATTTATTACTAATAAACCCCAATGATCCGATCGAATTTAGGGATTTCGATCGGATCATTGAGGGGGGAGGGGGCACGTGCCACCCCACCCCCCACTGGCTCCGCCAGTGCGCTGACGCTGTCCTCTTTACATGTCTTCATGGCCTTGCCCCACCTCATCGCGCCTCTCTCATCTCCTTCGACGTCCCCTCCTCTTCGTTCCCAATCTTCTCTCCCTCTCGCTGCCTCTCCTACTCCCTGTGCCCCATCTCGTGTTCAGTCACTCTCCATTCTTGCGCTCCTCCACTGGAATTAATACTGGTAGGAACCTCCTGGTTACACCAGCCCACAGGGGATTATTGTGTCCGTCCGTCCGTCGGTCGTGTATCCAAAAATGGGAGGGGTGGGGCTGGGTGGAGAGGGGAGGGTGGGGAGGGTGAGGCTGGGTGGGGTGGGAGGGGTGGGGCTGGGTTGAGAGGTGCTGGTTATCCCGTGGTGCCCTTATACAACTCAACGTTTAACCTACTCACGCCGGCTTGTGCCCGCCCTCAGTCGGCCATATTTGCGGAATACACCACGCCACCGTTGACCCTGGACCTTGACCAAGCAACCCAACGTTCCTACCAGCTCCCTCCGCAGGAATTAATTTCCCCTGTACATCAAGCAGCCCTCCTCAACCTCCCTCCACCCCTCTCTGAACGCCTCACCTTCTCGATTTCTTATTCGCTTCCTAATGCATTAAACACTCGCCACTCACCTGACACGACCACTTACCTGACACACCAAAGGGACACGGACCCTGGCATTCAAGGGGCAGGTATTTTCCGCCGTGAGCGGAATGAATGTATTGTCATGAAGTGGCCACATGGTGGCGCTACGAGCCACCAATTCCCGTGCCGAAGGAGACATTCATCTTTCAGTGTTCACTTCATTTGGCAGCCGTAGAAACAGCGGCGGAAATTCCATGTTTCTGTGGCCAGCATTCAAAACATTCACTTCATTCTGCTCAATACAGCAGATGCACGTGGCGGGCAGCAGATGGTAGTGCAGCAATATCTATTAAATTTGTGTAGCTTTGTGCTCCTGAATCTATGCTCCCTGCCTTAACCCGCACCGACCAGCATGACGAAGTATGGTCAAACACTAGATTTGAAGCTTTCGTAACTGCAAGGATCCATATTCTTAGGTTTTTTTTCGGCAAAGTCACGTAGGTAAAAAATTAAAATTAATAAAAGTATTTTCATGCAACTTTTATTAATTATTTTTAAAAGTATTTTTATTTTACTTTTATTAATTTAAATGTTTTACCTACGTGACTTTACCGAAAAAAGCCTAAGAATATGGTCAAATAACAACCCCCCCCCCCCCCACGTGTGACACCCATAGCATTGCGAGGTCCGCCTCGAGCTCCTTTAGAAAGGGCGCCGAGGGCGGGTGGGGCCGCCCCCGCCCTTGCTTCGCTAATTTACTGGAACTTTACCTTTCGAGATATCGTCACCCGAGGACCCAACACACAGCACAGGCTCTCTCAACCCAACATCGTTTATTATACATCCCAATAACGACATTTACACACAAGAAGCCCCAAAGGTGCGTCGACAAGCACTGCCCCTGTACGGAGTCCGAAAGTGCACGCCGGATGCGTCCGATGGGACTGGTGGACGTGGACTGTACACGGTTCGGGTTTGGGGTTAGGGTCGGTCTAGGGTTGGGTACCATCCATGGTTGGAATGGGGGCACACTGGGAAGCTCAGGCATTTGTCCGAATTGGCATGCCCTGGATTTGGACCACCACTGTCGAACCCAACACCTTAAATCTGGACACCAATTGTGCGGCGAATGATTGAAGTTGTAGATAAGCGTGGCGAGGGGGGGCGGCGGTGTAATGGGTTTCACACTGCGCCATGTACCCCACGCACCTTAGTTCGATTCCGGTCCCGGCTACCATCAGTGGCGAGTGACACTTAAACCGGTTCTGGGCACCTCCTACCTCCTCCCACCCTTCAACACCCCCACAATGACCAACGTGGTGACGTGTGGGCAAACGTCACCCACGGACGAGACGGCATGGGGAAGGGCCGTCATCCAGCAGTGGATTGACAAAGGGCTGCACATTCGTAGCGAGTGTGACGACTGAACTCCTGGGCCATTTTCCTGGTACATTCCCTGTGAGCCGGTGGTCGAGTGCAACCCTGGACTGGTGGAGTTTGAATAGAGGCATGGTTGGGTTAGGGGTAGGGCCCATGCCTTGGTTTTGAGGATTACATTTCAATTAAACGCACACTTGACATCCCTGCTTTCCCAAAAGCCTCACATCAACCTTCGATAATCGTGGCGGTAATTCGGTGGTAATGTGCTGTACCGACGATCCACACACAGTAAGGGTGAAACTGCTCTGCGTTTACCATACATTGGAGCACAACTACATTGCACCAGATTTTAAAGGTAAATCTGAGATTACCTGTCAGGTACACCAGCTGAGGATCGCAGGTAAAGGTGAAACCAGTATATACGTATAGACAGAAACCAGCAAAGAGAGCATTTTCCATAATGCAGCATCCGCAGCAGCTAAATACTGCGTGTTGAACGGAGCATGTTCTGCATTCCATAACATTTATGCGAATACCGATCATCCAAAATCAGGTGGACAAGCAGTGCTAATTTAATGGGTGCAGGTTCAATGACTGTCAATCAACGCACGCCAGTTGTCCTGGACATGTTTCAGCCAGACAGCATCACGGGAACCACCGACATCCCTCACAATATCCTGCAAACTCCGCAAAATGTTACATGTTACTGTGTATAACAACACAGCGCAGCCAGACACAGCCACCGGTCTAGATAACACTCAACACATTCGTTAATAACAATGCACTAAGTTGAATGTGTGTAACATGCGAGCTTGCTTACAATGGCCCTTCTTTAAAACAGTGGGGCCCATTATCCAAAATGTTGCCTATTATAGCTATATATTATTTCCTTTCAGGGCAATGTTATTTACGAATGTGTACAGTTTTTGCTTGTCTATTTGGACTTATGCGACACTGCCAAAGCAGCGTCATTTGTGCGAAATGTAAAAAGCTCACTCTCATTATCATATACCAAAACCACCACTATAAACACCAACACCATGAACAGTGCAAGTGCATAAGTGACACCTCAAAAGGCATCAAACGCCCCCCCCCACCCCCCCCCCCCCCCAATTATCAATATTTTTATAACATCGTTAGTCCAGCCACCACCCCATGAGATTGTCTTCACCGTAGGTAACAATCATCACACTTATCAACATCACTTTGTAGTCTTGCTGGCAGAGGAGACTGCCCAGGTCACTCTTGCAAACGAGACTATTTGGGTCTCTCGAGTTCTCAGTTGGTTAATCGAATTGAAAACAAATTAACTTGAAGCTCTTCCACACGGCTGTTAGGCCAATCGGGCCCGGCTGGGCGATTGGGGCGGCTACTCGTGGACTGTGAGCGGCGCCGAAAACCGTTTGAGGGGCGACATTTCTCAAGACGATGGAAGAGACACAGAGAAACACGAGAGTAACACAGAAAGACGTTGGCACGGAGAGTGAAAAATACAAAGGTACACACACGCGCGCACAGAACCAGAGACGCTGAGAGGTCCAGACACGCTCAGAGCCAAAAGACCACTACCTCCACAATTTAGGTCACCCCACACAGATGCACATACGTTAAGGCTGACCCCGGGTTCAATCCCAGCACGGTGCGTGCGGTGACGTGCCATTAAATGTGATGTAACGTGGCGTGCCGTACAGCGTCTATGCGCGAGACGTGGGCTGCTTGCAGCCGCGCGTATAGGTACACCGCGTGGTGCGACGACGCAGCGGCGCTACGGCATTGCGAGATCATGAAACGCTGACGCGATGCGGTACACGGTGGGATGGGCCGCGAGTTCCATGGCGCGCGTCACGTGGTGAGTGCAGAACGTGGGGTAACGCGACGCGACGATGCGTGTAGAACGTTGGGTGACGTGACGTGGTGATGAGATGGCTGCGATGCGGCGATGCCATCAGGCCTTCTGGTACATCCTGCGGAACTCCTGGAGGCCCCGGACCATATCCCTCTTCACGCAGTCCACGTACCCAGATCGACCCACAGACGGCACGTTCTGCAATCACGGACAAACCACAGTTTGATGCTACGCTGTCGGATTCTTTACGATGACTGCGCCTACAAATTGCATTTTGACATCATATATCCTCGTCTTCTTGGTTCTTTCGGTAAGGTCACTTGGATAGAAAAACAAATACAATTAAAAAATATAATAAAAGCAAAAAAAACCACGACGTTTCGATCGCAACACAAGCGGTCTTCATCCTCTTTTCTCTCCGCCTGATGAAGACCCGCTTGTGTTGCGATCGAAACGTCGTGGGTTTTTGGTTTTATGAAAAAAAATGATATCTACGTGACTTTACCGAAAAAAACCAAGAATATGAATTCCTGCAGTCACGAAAGTTTGAAGTCAAAATATATCCTCGTCTGTTTACATATTTGGATAAAAGCCACGCCAATATCTGTTTTGTATATCTGTAACTTAATTTGTAATTGTGCTGCAATGGGTCTGATAATAATGTCCCCGAGCCAACATTACGCTGCAGGAAATGTCTTATTTAACACGGATTTATATTTTTTGAATATTTTCTATTTCTGAAATGACACAGTTATTTTTGGCTCCAATTTCTGTTTGATTCATCTTTGTACCCTAAAATTAGTTTAGCTTTTTTGCCATTTCGGCGACCCAATTCACTCTTGCAAATGAGACTAACACTGATCCATTGCGTTCTCAACCTGGTTGATCACATGAAGCTTAAACTCGACAGGACATTGTCAAAACATCCCAGGCGACATCACGGCATCATAGGTAACATCGTGAGATCGCAGGAAACTTGAGAACGTTACAAGCAATATTACAACAGACATAACTACAGCATTACAACATCACAGGCAAAATTACAATATTACGGACATCACAGACCACATCACATCACTGGCACATTGCATGGACATCACGTCTCCACTGCACATTTGCCATCAGAATGTTTTGGTGTAACGGTGGAACGTATTGGACGTGTGTCATATTGCCAGGTGGCGTAGTATTGTTTATATTTAATGTGGTCGTGTGTTGTTTTGGCATGATATGATATTTATTTTATCTGGTGGCACGGTGTTTAAGTTTGGTGTTGGGATTAGTGTCGTGTTAATTTGGTGTGGTGTAACTACGTCATGGTGTCGCAGTATGTGCCTGGTTGCGCACGGTTGCACGTGGTTGCGCACGGTTGCACGTGGTTGCTTGAGTTTATACTTGTTGCACATGGTTGCGCGTAGTTGATCGCGGTTGTACGTGCGCGCGGTTACACGTGGTTGTAAGTAATGGTACATGGTTCATCATGGTTGTGTGCGGTCGATCGTGATTGCGTGGTTGCGGGTGATTGTACTTGGTTGCAGCGGTTGCGTGTGATTGTACGTGCGAGTGGTCGCAAGTGGTTGCGCACGATGTATGTTCGCAGGAACGTTGAACTTCTTTCGTACTTAACATAGCCGACCGTGCTAATCGGAGGTGCGGGGAAAGGACAACAAACTAAACACAAGATTGCGCTTGATTGTGTGCGTGTGGTTGTGTGCACGTGGTTGTGTGTGCGTGCTTGCGTGCGCATGGTTGGATGTGCGTAGTTGCATGCGCGTGGTCGCACCTTGAACCCGCGGTGCAGCCGCTCCCGCATGACGCCGATGAACTCGGCCTGGCTGAGCCGCCCGTCATTGTTGGCATCGAACAGGGAGAAGACGACACGCGTCACGCGCGCCGACAGCGGGCTGCCCGTCACCACCAGCACCGCGCGGCGGAATTCCTCTGGCGGCACAGCGTCAGGCAGAGCGACAGCATCGCGACATTAGTAAGCAGCATTCCAACATTAGTGTACACAGCATCGCCACGACAGCATTACACACGTCACCAAAATCACACATTACACGATAACAGTACGCAAGACACATCGCACAGCATTGCATGACACACATCACAACAGCATCGCACAAAACACACGGCATTACACAACACACTGAAAAAACAGTGCACATCATCATCAACATCACACAACACATACTACAAAATGTGTGTCCCCTAACTGTATCCTTGTTGCGTGTCCCCAGTGTCTCCACTCTGTGTGTGTCCCCATGTGTCCCCGCGTGTTCTCCCATGTGTCCCTGTATATGTCCCCCATATGTCTCCATGTGTGTCCCCACATCCCCGTGTGTGTTCCCCCGTGCGTCCCTGTATTTGTCCGCGTGCGTGTCCTCCCATGTGTCACAGCGTGTGCCCCCCCCCCCATGCATCCCTGTGCGTGTGTCCCCCCACATGCCCCCGGGTACCCGGTCCGATGGGCAGGCCTGCCCGCGTGTACATCTGCACGGCGATGGTGAAGTCCTCGAGGTTGTTGAGGAACTGGAAGAACGCCCGGTACTCTTCAAACGTGATGCCCTGTGGGAAGGACGGCAGCAAAGCACAGCCTCTTCGGCACGTGTGGCACCACGAGCATTGCACCACTCACAGCACATCACACGCATGACACACCACGCGGACAGTACGCCACGCACAGCAAACCACTCATGGCACACTACACGGACAGCATGCCACGCAGACATAGCACATGCAGACAGAACATGATATGCATAAAACACCACACACAAAAAAACAAAGACCCCCCCTCCCCGCCCCCCCCATATAGCCTTAACAGACTGTTGAGGCAAGTGCTGCTGGCGAGCGTAGCTATGAAGGCCGGCACTAGGGGGTGGGTGGCCAGCACCGTGCCCGGCCACCTTTGTCTCCCAACTGGTGATGTTTAAACACTGCACTAGGTATTCTTTTGAGGCCGAGTCGACACGCACACAGCACACACAACACCCCGATAGAGACACACACCTAGAGCCAAAGACCCTCATGTAGCCTTGTAGGCCCAACAGGCAATTGATGGTAACAAGCACCTATTAGGGGTGGCAGTGCACATGATGGGGTGGTGTGGTCAGGTCACACCTGGTCACGTTTGTTTCCCCAGTACTGATGTTAACGCACTCATTACATGCCAAGTCGACCTAGGGGAGGCCTATGAAGGGGTGCAACCATCATTGGCCACCGATGTTGCGCCCAGGCTAGGAATCGCAAACTTGCAATTAACACCAGAGTCATCCTTCCACACTTACCACGAGAGCCATCCTTCTGAAAGCATTTAGGAAACAAATAATACAAATGCAGTAATGTAGCACATATCGTTGCTTGTCATTGTTACGTTCAAGCAGTCTGCATCACCTGCTATGAGAGGTTAATAAAAAAATACGGACACTAGCAAAGACAACAAAACAAAAACATGCTGAGGGTACGCAGAGAAGAAGCGTGCAGAGGAGCAAGCCTGGAATTATACTGCGAGTCAGGAAGAGGAGCATGTGGATCAGAGCACAAACGGTCGAATAAATGTGTAGTGTGTGGGGTGTAAAGAGGGATGATACATGAATAGGTGTGTGGTGTGTTAAGAGGTGTGGCGTCTGCAGGTGTGGTATGTGAAGAGGTGTGGTGTGTGTAGGGGGCACAGGTGGTGCATCAGCCAGTCATCTCGGTCATCTTGGTCAGTCGACCCGTGGCACCTGCTGGGTCTGCCCTGTGACCTCCTGCCAGTGGGTGTTCGACACTTCACGTGGTAGCCTCAAGGTGCACTTGGCCTGGCACAAGCGTCGTGGTGACGTCACCGCCACTTAGTGGAGAATGGCTGTTGTTGTTGTTATGTGCATACGTGTGGTTTGGCGTTTTCTGCCGCACTGAGTCAGGCAGCAGGCGGAGGAGGTGGAGTTGGGGAAGGTGCAGTGCACACCTCGTCGGAGTCGAGGTTGCGGCGTCCGCGGTGTGCCGCGCCCGTGTAGCGCAGCACGGCGCTGGCGAACTCGCGCTGCGTCACGCGGCCCGTCCCGCGCGCCAGCTCCTCAAACTCGCGCCGCAGCACCTCGCCCTGCAGCTCCACCATGAACCTGCGCGTGGGCACCATCGTTCGTAACTTTAAAAAATCTGGCAAAATCTGAACCGTGACGCCGGCACACGTGGCCCAATCTTTTTTCGACTCGCGTCACGTGATGTTTAACGTCGACTGTGAAGCGGACGGCGCGTATCATATACGGTTGTTCCACCCACAAGTATGAACCGGGACGGCCGCTGGGATGTGAACCGCGAACCTCTGCAACAATCGACAAATGCGCGACCGCCCCGTTCCGTCTCACCCACTATTGCTTGAAAATGTTTGTTTTCGATTTTGATTTCAGGAACTGAATCGTGACCACGAATCGTGGCAATTCATTGATTCGTAGAAAACGTTAATTGTTACTCGGTCCTCCTGCAGCTCCGCTCTCGTTAAAACCAAGGAACGATTCACAAATCAAACGTGGACCACGTGAGGAGGCAACTCACTTCTCAAACTCTTGGTAGCTCAGGGACTGATCCTTGAAGAGGTGAAGGACGAGCGTGGTCTCCAAAGGGGGGGCACCCCCCACGACCTACACGGCCAACAACAATATACAAACACAGACATAATTTCAACCGTGATGATGGGTACAAACTTAGTAATCATTGGAAAGATGTTATCAACCACGCAAAAAAGACTTAATTACACTTTCTTGGACCATCTTATCTGACAGGCACTATTTGACTTTACTTTACTGAGTGTTAACATCCCCAGTTGTTTTTTAACAGTACTCTCTTCATTGTTCAGCCAGCATTGGTATAAACATGGGCAATTTCGTTCTTTGTCTATCATGTGTATCAGACCTCCCCTCCCCCTCTCTGCCCATTGTGTTGGCGTGTGCAGCAGCAACCGCGTCCAAGCCGTCGTTCAATTTTTGGCCCGCCCCCCCTCCCGATGAGTTGTACTAACATTCTGATGAGCTCCCCCCCCTCTCCTCCCCCTTCAACTTGCTTATAAGGGATTACATCTTGAATCATTGCCTCACTTGATGCAGCTAATTCGGCTGTGACGGTCCCACCTGATGACGGAGACTTGTGTTGCCTCCGAAACGTCGTTATTTTTGTTTTATTTTATTTTCATTAATTTTGATGTTTTACCTACGTGACTTTACCGAAAAAAACTAAGAACATCACAATCAACGCACGTAAAGTAGACAACTAAATCACATTAACGATATCGTTACCACTATCATCATTATTAAGAGTGGAAGGATTCAGCCTGCCACGCCCCCCCCCCCCCGCTACCCTACACCAAGCGAAGTTGATGACTTTAAGGGTTGAGATTCAATGCATTGGCCTTGAGTGACTGCAGAGGTCACATGAACACATTGGGTACAACAAGAGCGAATCTAAAACATCAATTCTTACACACACATACACCACACACACAATTCGCCACATGCACTGCGAGTTCAAGCATTAATATCGATGCACCGTTACACCAACACACAGCAATCATCGCCCTCTACTGCTCGAATAATGACGGATTACAGGCCAAGTGCCAAGTTATCTCGTGGCCCTGGGGAAAGCTGTCACTGGGCGTGCCCTTTCAATTGTTTGAGAGGAGATGCGATGCAAGTTTCCTATCGTGTGTAGAATTCTCCAAGACACCCCAGAAAAGCAAATCGTAATTGATAGTAATCACCAAAAACATCAGCATCAACAAAGACAACATAGACAAAGACAGCCTGTATAGGCCACACAGACTTTTGGGGCAAGTGCTGTTAGCAAGCATTAACTAAGGCCAGGGACAGCACACGAGGGGGTGGTGTGGCCGGAAAACCACACCCGGTCGCGTTTGTGTAACCAGTGCTGGTGTTTACACACGGCACCAGGTACTCATTTGAAGCTGATCGACCTGGGGTGCGGGGGGGGGGCGGCCAGGACCACTTTGGATATCCATCACTGATGTCAACCAGGACCGGCAACTCAAATGAGATAATCACTACGCCACCGCTCCACCCATCACCACGATCAACATCTACAATACCATCACCACCACCACCATCATCAGCATCGACTTCAGTATAAACACGAGCAGCACGACATCGATTGCCACCTGCATCGCAGCTCACATCACCACCCGGAGCTGCGTGCGTGCGTGTATAGATGCGTGTGCGTGTCACCTCCGTGGTCTCTTCGAGCGAGTTCGTAGATTTTTCCTTCTTTTTCCGAAAAATTTTCAGCAGCTGCGTCGCACATACAAATGCACAAAGACAAATGCCCCCCCACCCCGCATAGCCTTTAACAGACTATCTGTGGAAAGTGCTGTTGGCGAGCACCTATGAAGGCATACACGCGGTGCACAAAGCGGTGGGCGGCCAGCACCCACTGCCTGGCCGTCTTTATACAGGTAGGAACAACAGTTCCACACTGCCCACCAGGGATTATTTGTCTGTCCGTCTGTCGTGCATAGCCACGCCCTCGATTTGTATGTCATAGAGCGCTTCGGGCGGGCTCAGCACCATGTGACGCGCCGCCCCACGTAGCTTGCGCCGCGTGACACGGATCGCACGAATGCGCTGTCCAACCACCAGTGCCGATGTTTTACACATCGCACCAGATGCAAATTTAAGGCTGAGACGACCGAAGGGAAACCCAGGACCGGTTTAGATATTCGCTGTCGTTATTGCTCATGGGCAGGAATCGAACTCAGGTCAGTTTAACGCGTACGCTTTCGCGACTAATATTATCCATATTAGAGGTTTTTTGGGTTAGATCGCGTATATGTGTCGTTAAACCCGCCACCACTGCCAATTAGTAAGGTTTGTCACGTAAACAGCACATGCTAATTACTCGCTAGCTCAGCAAACTGTAAACCCACAACATTTACAATTCGAGGACAACAAACTAAACTAAAAAGAAATTACATTTTGTATGTATTGACCATAGACACGTGCCGTACGCTTTAAAGTGGATACCGACGATTGCAAAAAATATAGGACGCATGTGCCAGTTTCATGGTCCAAATTTGCCCAAAATAAATGTTAATTGCCCGCAAATTATCCAATCACAACCAGGGATCAAGTAGAAACATTGTCCCCCTACAGGCTATAAGCCGATTAATTATTGAGATAATTTTGCTGCTATAAATGTCCACATGATAAGCCACTTTGTTGGGCTATCATTTGTGGCCAGGTGGCTTGTGAAAAAACAAGTTAATACCTCCGTGGGCTTTGCCTGGTAGGATGGGGATGGTTTGATTTTATTTGTATGTTTTTGGGTGATTTGTGTTGTCTTTCCTGTACCTTGTCCTGCTACCGTGTTTTTGCATTGTTTGTTTTTGTAATGTTCTGACCCCGTGACCCTACCGGACATATGTGAAAAAGAGCTGTATAGTTCATCAAATTACTCCAGTATAAAAAATATATTCTGAATCTGGCTACAAGCTTCGCCGGCTCTAGTGTCTTGCCCTGGCCATTACAAGCCTCCCCGACTGAGCCAGTGAAGCTGCCTCGGCGTTCTCTGGTTTGTAGGCAACGCCGCTGCTCAGGGTGAGGGGAGAGTGGTTGGGCTGCGATGGCCGTGGGGGTGGGCCCCTTGCTGCGGGCACCTTCATGAACTCCTTCTTGTCCACGCGCTCATTTCCATCGGTGTCAAACATCTTGAAGAAGACCTGGAAGCCGGCACGGGGCTCTGTGGCAGAGACACGCAAAGCCCCCCACCCCCCCCCATGCCCTCATTCAGTCGCTCGCACGCTCATGACTCTTGTGCATATTCAACTGATCACACAATTCACCAACCAAACGAACGAGAACTATTTTTAGTTTACTAGGTAAGGGCCACTGCGCTCCATAGCTCTTTTTCAGAAGTGACCTGGCCACAAATGATAGCTCAATGAAGTGGCTTTCATGTGGAAATGTATAGCAGTCAAATCCTCTGAATGCACCTCAATTCTAAACCACTCGCAACAACCACCGTTCACCACTAAGTGGCAGTGATGCCACCACGGTGATTGTGTGCCAGGCTATGTCCACGTGAAGTGTCGAAGGCTTGCTGGCAGGAGGTCAAGGGACAGACCCAGGTGCCATGGGTTGACTAAGAAGACTCACAAAGACAAATATTCCCCATATTGACAAACCAGACTGTTGGGGCAAGTGCAGTTAGCAAGCACCAATGAAGGCCGGCATGGCACACAAGGGGGTGGGTGGCCAGCACCACACCCGGCCACCTTTGTCTCCCAAGTGGCAATGGTTACACACCGCAACCAGCTACTCATTTGACGCTGAATCAACCTCGGGGATGCCCATGACCGGTTTAGATAATCGTCTCTGGTGTTGGTGGTCATGAGCGGGAATCGAACTCGGGCTGCCGGGTTTGTAGCGCAGCATGCTAACCGCCATACTACCGCTCCTCGCTAGAGCTCCCCGCGTGAGCGTGAGAAGACTCACTATCACGTGCTCCACCAAGCACTCTCACTATTGCCTGCTGACAATCCGCCGACTACTCACTCACGTGGCTGCTGTGATGTTAGTGGCTGTCATATTTTTTATGGTGGTTGCCGTGATGTCGGTGGTTGTTGTGCCGTTAAGTCATCGTTGTTGTGGTGCTGTTGGTGGTCACAGCGATTGACTCTGCGGGGGACTCACTGGTGAGGATGCACACCAGGAAGAGGTAGTCCGTGTACGACAGCATTCCTGGGAGGGGGTAGGGACAGAACGGCACAGTTTAGACCCTAACGCATGACAGGGTGTTAGGGTGTGCGTGCAGGTGCACGCGTTTATATGTGTTTGCGTGATTGCGTGCGAGTGTGTGAGAATGAGGACGTTGTGGTCGTGGTTAAGCATATCGGAACCAAGCTTTTATTTCCTGTAAGCAATGCACAACATATGTGGCCGTCCATCCATTTATAATGAATATTTTAGGTTACATTTCCGCAGTTAATTCTAACCGTGTCATCCGCGGCGTACTACGAGATGAAGAATCCATTCAGAAATCTCGCAGAGCAGTGCACCCCCTACGGCAGAAATCGGTTGCAGAAGAGATTTTTATTCTTGAAATTTACGGGAACTCTCCCAAACGTGGCAGGGACGGTGGCGTATTGGGTGGCGTGCGCTGCACCGTATAGTACGGCCCTCGTTAACCACGAGTAGTGATGCGAGCGGTCGTGCGGTAGGCGATGTGGCTGTGTGGTGCGTGCTGTGGGTGTGTTGGTTCGCGTGGCTGTGGGTGTGTTGGTTCGCGTGGCTGTGAGTCGCTGTGGTTGTGCAATTGAAGTAGCTGCGGTGGTCACCACGGTGGCCCTGGGAGGTGAAAAAGTTGAGCGACCCTTCCTTTAACTTGGGGGTGTTTTTGAGAAGTCGATCAGCCTCCTGCACATCCACACACGCGCATACACGTACGCACATGTTAACACGAGTAAACATACACACACATACAAAGAAAAATACCTCTGCATAGCTGTACAGACTGTTACGGCAAAGGCAAGTCCTGTTAGCGAGCACCTATTGAGTCTGACATGGCGCTCGAGGGGGTGGTGTGGCAAACACCATACCCGGCCGCCTTTGTCTCCTCAGTGCTAATATTTACACACTGAAACCAGGCGTTTACTTCTGGCCAAGTCAACCTAGAGAAGGCCCAGGAACAGAGTCAGATATGCCGATGATCAAATGACCCAGAATGCATCTGATCTCAGAAACCAAAAGTTGAGCAGGTTTGAGCCTAGATCGTGTTGGGAAGGGACACCGCGATGCTCAAAAAAGGTTGTCATTGGCTCAGGGGTTACGCGATGGGGAGCACAGCAAAACCCATTATTATACTGTACTTCTACACTCGCCACTTTCGCCAACCCGCACTGACCAACGTGAAGTAAGGTCAAACAGCTCCCAAGACCTGCACGGCACGGGGGAGGGCCCTCATCCCACGGGGGAGCGACAACAGTGCTGTATGTGTGCGAGGGTGTACACGTGCACTCGCGTTGCCACGCAGGTATCTACGGCCCATAGACGATCGGTCACACGCACACGCTGGAAAAAAGGGCACCTGATGGATGGAGAAACTCACTTTTTTTGTGATGTACTTCCTGCTCGTCCAGCCTAAGCAGAGAGGGCGGAGACACAGGACAAGGCACTTAAGGATCTCCGAACACAGGGCAACATCGTCTGGTCTGCCTCTGGGAGCTTCCCTGCCACACAGCAGCATTAAGGCAGCTAACACCTCCTTAGGTTATGGACAATCCGAAAGATGTATTGTTTCGGATTGATCTGAAAACATGAGATGATCGGGATGAGTTTGGAGTTTGAGCGCGTCAGATTTTTCTGGGTAATCTGGAATTTTTCTTTCAGCGTTGCCGAATTTTTCTTTCGGCGTTGCGGATAGTTTACATGACGTGCTCGTATAAAATGTATTCGCACTAACAGCAGTGACGTCACCCCATGCCATGTGACGAAGCTTTTAGTGGAAAAACGTGCAAGTGACCTCGTGAAATCGACGCCACTTCTTGTGACGTCATGGTGGCGAGATGTTCCCTACCTCGCCTGGTTTACAGGAGGTTATGGGTTCGATTTCGACCCTGATGTCTGATGTATATTTGGAGTTTGCATGTTCTCCCCGTGGTCGCGTTGATTTTTCTCTGGGTCCTCTCCACATTTATAAACATGCATTAAGAGTATTTGGCTGTTATCCAGTCCCACGTGATAAATCCCCTTCGTTGAGCTATGATTTGTGGTCAGGTTGTTTCTGAAAAAGAGCTAAATAGTTAAGTGGGCCTTGCCTGGTAAAATAAAAAATAGTTCAGTTTATAGTTTAATATGCACGCTCGTGTGTCAATATGCCAGTAAACCTACGTCATTCTACACGGTCCCAAAGCGCACCTAGCCTGGCATGATTGCAACGGTGATGGCACTACCACCACGACCACCACTTAATGGCTGTCATCGTTGTTGTTGTGTATGCAGCGGTGTTTAAACAAAGGCGCACGTGAACCACGCCATCCAAAGCCGTAACGCGGGCGGCTGCTGATAAGGAGGCAGTAACTTCTTGCCCGGTAACGTTCCACGCGCACGTGCCTTATCTACCGCAGCGCACAGCGGCAGCGGTCGAACACAGAGATGGTGAAGAGGTGGTGGAGAGAGAAAGACGAAGAGGCTACGGGAGAAGGAGAGAGAGGGGAGATGCCCAAACGGCTCGGGTGTATTTGTGGGGACGGGGAGCAGAGTCCTAAGTGCTGTGCCCTATCTCCTGGCGATCACGGCACCCAGACCACAGCGGGGGTCTTACACCTGCAGGGGAGCGGGGGCCTGCCTCTGGGCTGCAGGTGGAGGTGGAGAGAGGCGTAGGTGATAGGCTGGAGTCCTGGACGGGGTGGATTTAAGATGCAGATGGTCCATTGGACAAAGTGATGCGTTCGAGTCATGAATTGGGTGCATGTGAGTAGAGATATCCCTCAAGAGGAAGGGACGAATTATAGTCTTGAGGAGGGTGAGCTTGGTACAGACATCCCCTACAGAGAAGGCAATAAGTTGGAAGTCCTGAATGGGGTGAAGGTTGGGACAGAGTGGCATCGCTTGGTTGGCATGGGTCCTTGAATCCCAGTTTGGCGTCCTTCCCCGTACCTTCGATTAGCGTGGCTGGCTACGTAAGGTGCAGAAGAAGTTCAAAATACAACATACATACAGCAGTGTCACCCCCTGCACAGACATCAAACATAACTCTCCCATCGCTCACTCTCCCCATTCTCCTCTCTCTGTGGGCCCCTATCGTCGTCACCCCCCCCACCAACAACCAGCCAGACGGCAACAAGCAGCCCTGACAAAGCACTGCATCGACAGTCAATAATAAAGATTGTCAGTAAACAAATCGGAACTGCTCAAATTGCGACGTGGGTACGGTCGTTATCGCTCGTGGCGGGACCTGGCGCAAACAACGCGCGAGTGGCAGGTGACGGCGACGAGGTGGAGGGGGAGGCAGCGACGATCGCTGCTCACCTGGATCCCAGCAGGGCCCGGAGAATGGGGACGGAGGGAGAGGGGGTTAAGGGCAGCCAACCCACCTCCCCAACAACTCCCACCCCTCCTCCATCGCCCCAGCCCAACCCACCCCTTTCACCCCCCTCCACCCTCCCACTCCCCTTCACGTTGGAAATTAATGATGGGGTGGTGCTAATCTTCAATCGTGGCCTACGGCGAGAAGTGGAAATCCCACATTCCCATGGTGGGAGCCAGTCTTTGTGCAAGTAGCAACCATTGATAGCTTCCCGTAAAGTGGTCCCGAATTAAGCTGCATGGAGAGATTTGGGTTGACTCACGGCCGGGATTTGAACTTGACGAGCCTTCGGAAAGACTGCCAATACAATTATCGTGGACCGCATACACAACGACATTAATCGGTAATGTCACGTCCTCCCAGTGGCGTAGCGCGATGGGCCTGGTGCCCTGGTGCAACGACTGCAATGGGACCCCCCCCTGTTAATTTAGTTTCCTCCTCTATCTTCAAGTCCGGTGCCTCAGTCCCCCCCCTCCCCCATCTAGCCCATGGGGGCCCCAGTGCAGCTCTACCCTCCGGCACACTCGATAGCTACTCCACCACTTACTCGCAGAACAACGACAAACAGCAACCGCCATTCGCCACTAAGTGGCGGTGACGTCACCATGGTGCTTGCACAAAGTGCCAGGCCAGGTGCACTCCGAGGCCACGTGAAGTGACAAAGTCTCGCTGCTGGCAGCACGTCACGGGACAGACCCATGTACCATGGGTTCACTGACTGAGATGACTGGCAGATGGATCACCTGTGTCCCCTGTATTGTGCCAACTTGCTCCATTTTAGCCGCCTGGCACTCCGCTCGTTGTTGTGAGCATCGCTCCTCTGGCCCTCCGCTGATGTTGGAGGGCAACTGCCTCCAAACTCACACCCGCATATATTCAAACACATGTACAATGATGCACAAAGACAAAGATCTCCTGTATAGCCTTTAAAGACTGTTGAGGCAAGTGTTGTTGGTAAGCGACTATGAAGGCTGGCACAGTACTCGAAGGGGTGGGTGGCGAACACCACAATCGGCCACCTTTGTCTCCCGAGTAGCAATGGTTATACATCACACCAGGTGCTCATTTGAGGCCGAGTCAACCTAGGGGCGGCCCGGACCAATTCAGATAATTGTTACTAGTGTTGGTGGCCATGATTGGCAATCAGAATCTGGTCACAAGGTTCATAGCACAGCGCGCTAACTGCTACACTATTGCAACCCACACTCGTGTGCGGACACACGCACACATAAAGACAAAGATCCCCCATATAGCCTGAACAGATTGTTGGGGCAAGTGCTGTTAGCGAGCACCTATGAAGGCCGGCACTGTGGCACACGAGGGGGTGGGTGGCCAGCACCACACCCGGCCGCCTTTGTCTCCCTACTGGCGATGTTTACTACACACTGCACCAGGTACTCATTTGAGGGTGAGTCGACCTAGGGGAGGTCCAGGAGCGGTTCACTAGTGTTGGCCATGAGTGGGTATCGAACTCGCGTCGCCAGGTTCGTAGCGCAGTGCGCTAACCACTACACTACAGCTCCCCGCTACCGTGGACAGACGCACGCACACACACACATGCACACACGCACTCACAAACTCACTCGAACGAACACGCTCTCGCACCCACACGCTTACGCACGCCATGCACGCACATACGCATGCTCACACCCACGCACGTTTAAATTTAGACGATTTTATATTAAAAAAGAAGTGGGAGACAAAAACAAGATTCTTCCCTTTTAAAAGGCGTTTAAGTAAAGAGACAGACGAGCCAGCAGCCATGAACCCTCAGGAATCCGCTGCGTTTAATTTGCACTGCGGACAAACACGGCACAGAGTGAAATTTATTCAAGGACGAGAGATAAAAATAAAATGGGGGTCCCGAGGGTGGGGGGGCTGGGGGGGGGGGTCGGAGGGTGGCATTGGCCAAATTTACACACACACGCACACACTAACTCACCCACCCAGTGACTCACTCACTAACTTAGTCACTGACGAATACTCACTAACCCCCCTCACTGTCTCACCCACTCATAAACTCACGAGCTCATCCACTCACTCCGTCCACACGCCGCCTCACCTGCTCACGCACCCGCAAACGCTGATGTACCAAACAATCGCGCACTCACTCGGCCAGGGAGGAATGACGAGAGACTCAAAGAGAAGGGAGAGCGCGAGAGAAAGGGGGAGGACGAGTGGGAGAGAGACGTGAGAGGAATGGGATTGAAAATTACAATTTATGGTCATATCGCGTCTAAATACAATCGAATCACAAGACGCTGCACAGAAACCACGGGCATGTTTATTTCATGGAGATAAAGAGGCAGTCAGTCATAGCGAGCGGAATAAAGGAGGGCCGTAAGCCTGGACTTGGACAGCGGGAGTCAGCGGGACAGACGGCAAAGGGGGAACAAGAGTTCTAAACAATCTCTGTTGAACTTCTTTCGCACCGTACGTAGCCAACCGTACTAATCGGAGGTGCAAGGTAACTTTGGGGGGGGGGGCAGTAGAGGAGAATGAGCGACCTCCCACGAAGTTAAAGTTAACGGAGGGCTTCGACAGAAAGCTTTGGTTTGCCGGAGTGGAGTGTGTGCAGAGGGGAGTAGAGCGAGATTAAAAAAAAAAAGAGAGATTACAGAAGAGAGGCAGGCAGTGAGTGTCGAGTTGATGGAAGATCTTGGGAGATGGTTAAAAAAGAAGAGGCAGGGTGGAGGGACAGAAGAAATGAAGAGAGATAGAGAGAGGCAGCAGAGGAAGGGAGAGAGGAAGAGTGAATGAATTTAAGACGGGAGGGTAGAGACAAGGTGAAGGAAAAGAAAGGGAAGAGACAATGGCAACGAAGAGTCAGGGAGAGGAGACAGATAGAGCAGCGAAAACAAGTGGGAAAGGAGGGAAGAGAAATTACAATGAGAGGGCGACAAGGATGGAGGATAGAGGACACAGAGTGTGAGCGTGAGAGAATGGAGAGAGGCACGAGGGTGGGGGGGGGCATGGAGGGTGAGACGAAAGCGTACGGAGAGATGAGAGAGTAGAGAGGAGATGGTCAGGTGCTGGGCGGGGGAGCGACCTTTACCCAGGCTGTTTGTCGTTGTGTCTCCGTGGTAACGTACCGCCCAGGACTGCAATGTGGCATCCGCGGCCCGTTACCACGCAGCCTCGAGGCGCTAACGAGCGGCACGGGGCCCAGCACCCTCCCCGCACTACCGCCCTACCCGCACTCCCAACATCCCCGCACTATCAACCTCCTTGCACTACCACCCTCCCCACAGAATCACCCTTCTCGCATTACTACCCTCCCCGCACTACCGCCCTCCCCGCACTCCCAACATCCCCGCACTATCAACCTCCTTGCACTACCACCCTCCCCACAGAAGCACCCTTCTTGCATTACTACCCTCCCCGCACAACCACCCATCAGCCACCCTCATCGACCGCCCACCCAACACTCCCATCCACCCACCCAACACTGCCATACATACGTCGCCAATCCCACACACGCACCCATCTCACACTACCACCTGCCCAGCACTACCATTCGTCCCCTCCCATCCCAATCACCACTCATCCCACACCCCTAGCCTGTCACCCACCCTGAACTACCACCCACCCCACACTACCACACTCCAAGCACCCCAAACTACCACCTGCCATGAGCTATCAATCATCAGCAACCCCCCACTCCCACCCATCGCCCATCCCACACGACCATCGGTCTGCCTTGAACTACTGCCCATCCCACGTCGCTCTCACACGCTATATACGACATCGCCATCTACTATTCACAACCACCCACCGCTGGCCCAGCACTACCAGCCTTGGGCTTGTGGTGTTTGTGGTGGTTATTGGGGGTGTTACCGTGTTCTACGGACGCTCCAAAGAATAAGATGGACCCCAAACTTGTGCCCGGTGTTAATAAAAAGTTACACGAAGGCACGCACGCACGCACCTGCTGGGTTGTAAAAGGCACCCCTAACTTTTACTTTAAAATACAGCAGAAAAAGGCATCTTATAATCCCAGGAATATGTACTCTTTTGTTTTTTACAAAAGAATACAACTACATTTGTATTTATGAAGCATTTAAATGTGACCGCATCTAAAGATACTGATGGTGCTCAGTTGTAGTTGTGGCGGTGGTTGTGGCTATGGTGCTTGTAGTGGTGGTTGTGGCTGTGGCGGTGGTTTTGGCTGTGGCGGTGGTTGTGGCTGTGGCGGTGGTTGTGGCTATGGTGCTTGTGGTGGTGGTTGTGGTTGTGGCTGTGGCGGTGGTTTTGGCTGTGATGGTAGTTATGGTGGTTGCGATTGTTATGGTTGTGGTGGTTTTGGCTGTGGTGGAGGTTGTGGTTGTAGTGGTTGTGATGGCTGTGGTGGTTTTGGCTGTGGTGGTGATTTTGGTTGTGGTGGTGGTTTTGGCTGTGGTGCTTGTGGTGCTTGTGGTGGTGGTTGTGGTGGTTGTAGCGGCTGTGATGCTTGTGGTGCTTGTGGTGGTGGCGGCTCACTGGCTGTGTCGGAGGTCACCGAGTCGAGGAAGTCCAGGGGGGTCATGTACATCTGCTCCCCCAGCTGCAGTGAAGCAAACTCCAAGAAGCGCATCTCGGGCGGAGAGGGGCCCACACTCACGGGGGCCGACGCCACCAGCCCATGCTGCACAACCACACAACCGGGTTAGCTACAGGAACCATCAACACATAACCACAATCACAATGGGGTAACCACAATCACAATGGGGCAGCCACAGAGGTGAGATGTTAACTCCCTCGCCTGGTATACAGGAGGTCCGTGGGTTCGATCCCGACCCCGACGCCTGTATATTTTGAGTTTGCATGTTCTCCCAGTGGTCACGTGGGTTTTTCTCCAGGTCCTCTGGTTTTTCCCTCCACATTTAGAATCAACGTGAGTTTAGAATATTTGGTTGCAAAAAATGTCCACGTGACAAGCCACTTCGTTGAGCTATCATTTGTTGCCAGGACGTTTCTGAAAATGAGCTATATATCTCTCAGTGGGCCTTGCCTGGTAAAATAAAAAAGAAACATGGTCACGGTCACAAACACGGTTAGATGACAAAGCAAATGAAAAAAGTTTTAAAAGTGTGCACGTAGAAGTGCACGCTTGAAATTATACCGAGATGCAGGATCAGGAACGCTTGTATGAACGAACATACGCAAGTGGGTGGACTTGGGCAAGGGCACCTTGCTCGCCGGGACGATGGCCGGAGGAGGTCGAGACTAACGATGGAATGGCAGCCAAAGGAAAGAACGTGTCCCGAGAGGTGGTGCAGTCAGAGTGGAAGGGACGAGATCAGCTCGTGTACAGGTGCCAATGTGGACTGTGTGCGTGGTGGGGAGCGGTGGTGCAGCGGTTAACGCACTGTGCTATGAACCCGGCGACGCGAGTTCGATTCCCGCTCACGGCCAAGAACAGTGACAATGATCTGAACCGATCCCTGGTCTCCCCTAGGTCGACTCAGCCTCAAATGAGTACCTAGTGTGATGTGAAAACATCGCCACTGGGGAGACAAATGCGGCTGGGTGTGGTGCTGGCCACCCACCCCCTGGTGTGCTGTTTCCGGCCTTCATAGGTGCTCGCTAACAGCACTTGCTTGCCCCAACAGTCCGTTTGGGCTATACAAGGAATCTTTGTCTTTATTTGCAAGGCAAGATCATGAGAGACGGCTTGGGGAGGCCTTCATCCAGCAGTGGCTAGAGCATGGCCGATGATGACAAGGGCCAAACGTCGCGAACACGTTGTGCTGGCGATTCGCTGCGCCCTTGGTGACGGGGGAAACATGGGACGCATTTTTGGCAAAAAAAATCGGACAAAAGATTAAAAGTTTCGTCAACAGCGCGTGAATTGGGCTTGTTGCCTCTCGACGCTCAGGCGAGCAGTTCGTAAATTACTAAGTGGTGATAAATCCCACAATTCCTATGGTGTGGTGAGTCCAACTGTAGGGGAGAGGTGGAGGGGGGGAAACCCCTACCGGTAGGTCTCACAAATGCAGTGCTAATTTCCTCGACTCGAGTGAAATGACAGCCTCAGATTTCCCCGGAGCTAGATTTGAACGCACAAACATTTTTGTGAGCCGTCTCCACCGCGATTCCGCCATCCAGGACTCTAAAGACTTGGATAGAGTGCGGCGAGAAGTAGTTTTGGGGGGAGAGACGCATGTACGCTCGCCTCTTCCTCCCTCAACGCATTAATCAGAGCGGCGCAACGGTGAATCCAACACATTCCAAAGTGCCCCACACTCACTCCTCACATATTGTATATACGTACGTGCAGTGTATATACATTCATTCATACTTCGAAGTTCAACATACATACGTCTGTAGTTTGGTATGTGTGCAATAGTTAATAATTACAAGTGTTATTATTACACCATTATTAGACGCACATGCGAAGCTAATGATTGAGACATCGTTCCTTGATTGAGGCATTTCATTTTTTCGCAAGCGTTTAGTAAATAGGTCGCGCTAATTTTGTTCCAACAGTTGGTCCCTGCTTCTTTGATGATGTCCACAGTTATTCCATCTGGTCCAGCAGGTGTTAACTTTTTTTCTTTTCTTAGCACTGCGAAAAGCAGATTTCACTTCTCCCAAGTGTCAGCTGTGCATCAACGATCGTGACATTTTGAACGGCGTGAGCACAAGGGGGCATACAGGGCCTACCACCACTTCACCGCGCACGGTCCACGACCACATGCGAGCCATTCTCCTCGATTTACCCGGGAGGTTAAAACCAAACCCACTGAGACACATGACGAAACGACATGGCCCCTTTTTTATTAGGGCGATACGGGTACAATAAAAAAAAACTAATTAATCGTCATGAGCCCTACCATTTTCAAAACTGCTCGCAAATTATATTTACACGTCACCGTAGTCATATTAGCCGCACGAAACCGGTTCTAGAAGGGAATAATTTTCCAGCTGGAGAAATCTGTAAACATAGGTTCGCCCCCGAATTACTTTTCGCTTTATCACCGAATCAGATGTGGCAAAATTAACTACAGGTCCGATCGGCCCTCACTAATGGATCGGTTTTCAACCTCCTAGCGGTGCAAGGCATTCGTGAATATGTCAGTCAGAGCAAGGCGCAAGTGATGTGACAGTGAGCATGTGTCAGTCAAAGGCAGATGTTAGCAATATGAGTGTACGAGCCAAGCGTCAGTGTTCAACCGTGAGCATGGGATGTGATCCCAAGGACGGCGAGCGAGTGCGAGGCGTGCGTGAGTTTGAAGTGCGAGCCATGGGCCGGTGTAAGCGTCTGTGGGCCAGGCGGTCACCATGGCATTCGCTCCCTCCCTCTCTCTCGCACGCACGCACGCATACTTACGCACGCACCCGCGTGCGCGTTCCACATGCCGCCCTTTATGTGGAGCTGCGTTTCAACTTTAATTCAATTTCACTCGATTGTCTTTTATTTGGGAAACTTTTTTTTTCTTTGCCGCCGACAAATTCCATGAAAACTTTACGTGCGTGCGCGTCGGCATTCACAAGCATGTAACGGAGAGGGTGCCCGATGCGTGTGTACTGTGCGTGTGTGTACCTGTTTGTGTGGGGAGTGGTGGCTCAGCGGTTGGCGCACTGCGCGACGAACCCCGGTGACAAGATTAATTCGCGCTCGTGGCCAACATGGGTGACGATTATCTGAAGCGGTATAGCTGAGCCTCCCCTAGGTCGACTCAGCCTTTAACAAGTAGCTGGTGTGGTGTGTGAACATCAGTGCTGGGGAGACAAAGGCGACTGGCCATGGTGCTGGCCACACCACCCTCTCCAATACGGTTCTCGCCTTAACAAAAGTTGAAGGTCAAATGAGTCAGTGGTGGGAATTCCTCGTTCCTACGGCAGGGGCGAATCTATCCAGAATCTTTATTGAGACTGGAGGAATCCAATGAGCCATGAGGCTCTTTTTCACAAATATCCAGTAGGGGTGGATTAGAAAAAAAGTACAAATGGCACAAGTACATAATTTCCATAGAACTTGCACTGTGGACTTCCCCAAAAAGTGGTACTAATTTTATCGGACCTGGGAGAGGGGGGGGGGGAATGGGCTGAGTCAACCACCCACCAACAAACATTTCAAATCACAACCTACCAATTGCGAGCCACTTGCTCTGACCACTGAACCCCCTCGCCTTAATGGGCGCTCACCAACAGCACGGATCTTTGTCCCCGTGTGTGTCAGTGAGTAAATTCACCTGTAGCTGCGTACCTGCGTTATCTGTGTGTGCGTGCGCACGCGCTCGCGTGACGTTCCCGCAGCCAAGAAAAAATTGTTTTAGAAATGTTAAATATTCAACTTGAAACTTGAAAAAAAGTATTCATGGGTAAAATAAGATAAGACACCATGCTGTGGCATGATTCATAAACTACACACGAATGCGTTAGGCAGGAGTGAGCATTCCGTTAACCTCAAGGTGTGTGCATGGATATGTGCCACGTGTGCATCAGTGGGTGTGGGGAGCGGAGGCGCTGCGGTTAACACACCGAGCTAAATCGTTAATGAAATAAGCTACGAACCCCGCAAGTCAAGTTCGATTCCCAGCCACGGCAAACATTAGTGGTGACATCAGAACCAGTCCTGGGCCTCACCGAGGTCGAGTAGCCCATGCGGTGTGTGTCATTATCAGTACTGGGGAGACAAAGGCTGCCGGGCATGGCACTGGCCATGCTGCCCCCTCATGTGCCATAGCAATATAAAGTCTGTAGATGTATACATATACATACGTAGGCGAACAGTGTGGATACATGCATATGTGTAGCAAAGTCCATTCGTATGCATGTGCGTGTACATGGGGAGCAGTCGTGTAGCAATTAGCGCGCTGCGTTATGAACCTGACGAACCAAGTTCGATTCCCGCTCACGGCCAACGCCAGTGACGATTATCGGAACCGTATACGGGCCTCATCTAGATCGACTCAGCTGAAGATGAGCACTTGGTGCAGTGTGCAAAAATCACCACTGGGGAGACAAAGGCGGCCGGGCGTGGTGTTGGCCACCCACCCCCTTGTGTGCAGTGCTGGCCTTCATAGGTGCTGCTCGCTAACAGCACTTGCGCCAACAGTATGTTAAGGCTATACGGGGGATCTTTGGCTGTGTACATGTGTTGCTAGGTTGCTCTGTAGTGGTTTCCCCTTGGTCACGATTCACCGGTGACCATTCCGTTTCTTAACCTTGCCCGGAACTCTCCTCGGGTGACACAACCTACAGTTGCTACCTGATGCAGGGGTGTTGTGTTTAACAATGGGGGAGACAAAGGCAGCTGGCGATGTCGCTGGTCACACTGCAACGTTTTAATAGGTGCTCACGAACACCACCAGCCACTTCGGTCAAAAGGCCAAACGGGGGCGGGGGGAGCTTTGTGCCTGTGTACGTATGCGTACGTGCGTGTGTTACAAGTGTTACTCAAGTGAACGTGTCTGCGTGGCTGTGTAAGTCTGCGTGTATGCACGCACGTTACAATGAAGGGAATGTTTTTGGCCGGCCCATCGCAAACTTGAAATAGTTGAAATTTTAGAATTTAATAAATAAAGTAGACGCACGCAACCCATGTCAGAAGACACATGCAATCCGAATGTGAGAATGTGTGTACGTGTGTGTGTATGTATGTGTGTGCACACGTGTGTCTGTGGGGAGCGGTGGCAG